TCTCCAAATTTTTAAGAAAATAAGTTATTTTTAATTTATGAGAAATTTTTTATTTTTTATATTAGTTTCTCTATCTTATAAAGATTTATGTAAAAAATTATCCAAATTAAACATTTATATCATACCTTTTATTATAAAATTTATTTAAATAAATCAAGATAAACTAATAAAAAATATGCTATTTTCATCAGTTTAAAATAAATTATAAAATTATTATAAACGCGTAGTAAACATTTCTAGATGGGTAAAAATATAATGTTAAATTAATGATCCCTGGCTAGTATGTTTGAGATTTAAAATGGATCAACAAGTATACAATTTGAAAATATTATAATAAATATTTAATGCATCATCGTTATTATGTTAACTATATTATTTAAATAAATCCAGCTATTAAGTTGATGAGACTTTTTAAGCAGTCTAAAGCTTGACTTTTTAACAAAAATTAATTTTAAAAGTAAAAATGTAAATAAAGTAAAATATTTATAAATTAATTAAATTTAACTTATTAAATACAATACTAAGGTTATTTATTTGGCTAATCAAATAAATATAAACTTAAAGTTATATTTTATTTTTAGAGAGTCAAACTTATGTGTCATAGATTTAACAATAATAACTCTTGTTCTTTCGCCCACACATATACATGTATGTTTCATTCAAATAATTATATTTTTATTTGGTATATTTACTTGAAAGATTAAATTTATTTTATTATCATCATATACTTACTACTTTTTTTTTTCCAGAAACCATCTTTTAAGTAAGTTACAACTTTTTAAAAAAAAAGTAATCCATCGTTATAATTTTTTAAGTTTTTGTCTCCAATCTCATTTTAAAAAATACAAAATTATATTTTATTATCAGTTTACTTTTTTTTAACATAAAAGTACATATTAAACACTAAAGTAATAAATAAAAATAGTTAAAAAAATGTCAATTAATGAAAGAAAAATAATTATCATAATTAAGTTAATAAATTGAGTTTAATTTTTTAAATCATGTTAAATTTAAAGTATTTAAATAAATTATTCAAATTAATGATATGTATATACAAGTTAAATTTAAACTTTAAGTATTGAACTTGGCTTGGCTTGTTTAATCACTCTTATAATCTAAATGAATATTTTGCATATGGAGAAGGAAAATAAACTATAAATACACTACTTGCTACCAGTGACACCATTGGTAATATTTACAATTAGATCATTATTGATCTTTTTATATTTCGTTTCACTAATTAATGGTTAAATCACACGTAGACAAAAATTGAAACAAGAAATGTTAAATTAGAGAATAAAATGCTTAATTTACATAAATTTGTTATCCAAATTTATGATAAACTTATTTTTACTTTTTTATAAATAAACTCTCATTTGTAGAAAATTTCAAATTATATATATTTTAAATCAATCTGAAAATTAACAAGTAGTAATTTTTAAAAATATAAAGAGTGAATCATAAATTTAGAAATTTAAGAAATATATGAAAAGCGAAATAAATTTACGATAACCTAAGATTCGATGAAATTATAAAGACGCAGAAAATAATTTGGACAACTTTATGTCCTTATCCATGAGCAATACAAAGGGAATAACGGGCAGCAAACCTTTTCCCACGAAAGAATAGAATCCCTTGAACGGGGAAAAGAAATGAAGAAATGAAAAATCACTTTTAGAATCTGAGCCAAGCCGAGCCGGTGGACTAAGCGTGGCTAATTGGGGCATTACGACGTCGCGGCCACCCACAAGGTCCACGGCACAGTGGCAACACAAACGTTAAGGAGTGGCTGACGGAGTGAGTCATAGTAACAATAATGCAAAGGGTTCCTTGTGAGTTACGACCATGCGCGAGGGGGACCCACCTCAGCCTACCTCGTCGTGGGAGTGCCACAACCAACGATAGAGGCTCTCAGTGGCCCCCAACAACAGCACCTCACAATACCCCTTCAACTTCAATGCTCTCAATTTATTATTCTACTTCCAATTGCCAAGGGGATGGGTCCCACACTGCTACCTTTTCATTTCTTTTGGGGCCTCCACAACTCGCTAATTACTATATTAACTGTTAATTTCCTATCAAATTACACCTTTGCCCTTCTCCACCCTCCTCTAATTCTCTGTCCTCGTCTTCGGAACTAAAGCTTATAACCAAGTACCAATTATTCAGCTGTGAGTATATCATTTTTTCGTAACATGCGTAATGCTGCATGTTATAATCATTTATATATAGAATTTTTTTATACAAATATTATATTTTAACTTTTAAATTAATTTAAATGATTATTAATAATAAAATTTTATTACAAGAAATAAACATGAATTATATTTTTATAACTTTAATATAAATAATACTTTCTAATAACTTTTTTTTTACTTTCAAATGATTAAACTTAATCTTACGAAATAAATTTAATATTTTTTTCACCTGTTTTAATTTAAATTTAACTTAAGTTATGCCCATGAATATAGTGAGTAAGTCTCTTACTTAAAATTTTTTTTAATCGTTTTACTCGAACTAACCTCTTTTAATAAATAAATTTAATGTTAAACTCTATTATTATTATCAATAACAATTCAAGATAATAATATTTTTAAATACTATTATTTTCAATAAAAAATACTACATATTAAAAACATTGTTGTATAAATAAAAAAATATTTCATATAAATTATTAATGAATTAGAAAAATTATTTATATAAAAATTAATTTTTATAGCATAAGTTATATTTAATTTTATTTTATTTAATAATTTTTATTAAATAATTTAATTATAAAATTAACGTATAGATTCAAAGTTTTAATAATATAAATTATATATATACTGTCAAATCAATCCAAAATCATTTAATATTTTATTCACATACATTAAAATTAATCTTATCTATTTATCTACCTATCTATAAAAAAAAATGATACTTGAATTATATTTTTATAATTGTTTAATTTTAACAAAATTTAACAATATAATCAATCTTATATTTAGTTATAATTTAAAAATTAGATTGACAAAAAAAATGTTTTATATAAATTATTAATAATGTAATATTAAGTACAATTTTTACTAATGTAATTTAATTATTTCTTATATATATATATATATATATATATATATATATAAACTTTTTATATATAACATTTTTTATTAAAAATTACAGTATGTAATACATTAATAATATTAGGTGTCGTAATTTTTCATAAAAAAATATTAATTCAAGATTGTTTTTAAATAATAAAAGTGAAATAAATAATATTTTTAATAAATAATAATTATTGTTAGATGCTACTCTTAAAAGTTAATGTGAATATATTTTTATTAATTTATTACTGTATATCTTTAAACATATATTAAAAAAATCAATCCTCTTATAGAAAATGTCTCTTACCACTATCGTGTATTTATTGCTATTCTTTATTTAGTTTTTTAATTTAAATATTATCATCATTAATTTTAATTAAAAAATATAATTTTAAAAAAATACGTTAAAAAGGACAATCAACATTTTAGATTAAAGGTATACTTGTTCCTTTTCATAATATTTATATAAAATATTTGTTATTAGAAGTTACAATATTTAATACATTGATAATGTTAAATTTTATATAAGAAAATTTATTATTTTTTTATCATGTGTCTTTGAATATATGTTCATATATTATTTTTTAATAAGTTTATTTTTATTCTGAATAAAATTTATATTTTATTACTTATGAATGAAAAATTATAAATATTAAGAGAAAGATAATTTAAAATTATTGTCAATTATCGGTCGTTGTAAAAATCTAAAACTAAAATGGTCTCAATTGCTTGTGATTTGTGAATAATGTTGAGACCTGAACGACGAGGGAGAAAAAGGTAGTAATAGTATACCGTTATTCCAGAAGAAAAACATTAACGCACACCAAATTAAGGAGTATAATTACTTTAATTTTTTAAAATACGTGTTGAAGTATTTATTAATAGAAGGTCTTTTTTATGACATTTAATACTAGTAATTTAACATCAAAATACATAACTAATAAATATTTATCATCAGAACTCGCAAGCAATGAATATTTATAACCAAACAGGAAAAGTAATTTGTGAATCAACGTAACAGTGGTTATTGCTTTCTGAAACTTTTGTACCAAAATAGAAAATAAAATTGGAATTAATATAATTTACATAAATAAAAACCTTTTTAAATATTGATATTTTTTGATATTTTTTTTTCGATACCAACTTTTTTTTTATAAGAAGTAATATTTATTTGAAGTTAAATAAAAAATAAATATACATTCTTATGTAGTTACTCTTGTAACAAAATATTTCACATGACTTTTATATATGGTTCCTACCTCTCATGTAAAGTCAGTATAATGAGTTTCGAAGTTCGATAAAATTAAAGTTTGAAATTTAAATTAAATTGATTTTTTTTTTTCGATATGATAAGTCCAGTACAAACTAGGCACATAAAAACTAAAAAAATTGAACTTTATTCATTTTAATCCCCATTTTTATAAAATAAAATAAAATAATTATTATGTTAGTTTAACTTGCTAAAATTTATTACTCGATGGGTTAATCTGAATGGGTTAAATAACCCGCTTTGCAAACTTTATTCTTATTATCTTGGAGGGTTGATAATTGAGCATAATTAGCTACAGTCTATTATCTGGGGAACTCTATCAATTGGATATCGCTCATTTATGTAATTCAACTTGAATTTAATTAAATTATTATGAATAATATTGGATATTAAAAATATTTTAAATAATGATTAAAATAAAATAACCTGGTATAAAGTAAGTTAATTTAAGTAATAACTAATTAGTTACTAATATTAGAGGTAAGAAAACATTGTAATTCCAATTTTGGGCGGGCACATGAAGAGGGGTGCCTCTTTAGAAAAATGGTTAGGAAAGGGGGAGAGAACTGAAAAGTGTACGAAAGGTTCTTCCACTGCATAATAAATCCCTCTCCTCTTTCTTCCCCTGCCCTTCCTTGCATGTGACTCATTTCTCATTTCTCAAACTAAAATTAAAGTTTTAAAATCAAAAAAATAAAAGAAAGAACCCATTGTTGCAACAATAACATCACAACCCCCCCCTCTCTCTCTCTCCTTTTCTCTTTGTTCTGTGTCTTCTCTCAGAATTTTCACACTGAACCATCTTCCCCTGTTCATGGCGGCTGTCCCAGCATCGCGGACCGATCCACCAGCAATGGTGCCGCCGCCGCTCCTCGTCTCCGACTCCTTCGCCAAGGACGCCATTATCGCCTGGTTCCGCGGCGAGTTCGCCGCCGCCAACGCCATCATCGACGCACTCTGTGCTCACCTCTCACACCTCGCTGCCTCCTCCTCCGACTACGACGCCGCCTTCGCCGCTATCCACCACCGCCGACTCAATTGGATCCCTGTTATCCAGATGCAGAAGCATCACTCCATTGCTGACGTCACTCTCGAGCTTCGCAGAGTCGCTGAGAAGAAAATCGAGCCCGCAGGTGGCACCAAAAGTGAGAGTAGCTTCGACGAGAAAGGGAAAATGGAGAAGGATGTTGCCGAGAGTGTTGAAAACGGCGGCGACGAAGCTACGGTGGAGTGTGATTCGCCGGACAGTGAGATTACTGATTCAGGTAATAATCAATTACACAGTGATCTTCGTGTTTTTCTCTCTTTTCAATATCATTGAAGATTCACTTTTAATCTATATTTTCCGATACTGTTTCACTTGAAAGTTGGGAATCGATTCGGTCTTTTTTCTCTTCCTCCTTTTCCCGGGCAATTGAAAGGCTCTGTTAACGGCTTAGTTGTTTTATTTTTCTTTTTTAATTTTCAGATTAGTTATTTGTGTTTCGCTTGAGATCACTTTTTTTTGTTCTTTTGTTTTTGTTTATTGGGGATTTCTTTTTTGGCGAATGATTCAATCATGAAGGACGATAGCTTTTCTGCGTGTCTCTTCGTAGGAGCAAACTGTTTGCTTTTCTTTTTTTAACAATATTCGAGTTTTATAAAATAATTATTATTAGGAACAGTTATATTCTTTCCTCGCTGTATCGCAAAGAAATCGAACAAACCGATATCTGGCATGAAAATTAGTTTTCCAATTTGTTTATGCATTGAAGTCAATTTTCGGTTGCGCAATGGTAGACCGCAGACGTCGTTCAACGTTTTGATTTTTTAAATTTCCATGACTATAGTTTCCACTCATTTTATTGGCGAAGCAAAACCATCACAAATATTGTTGTTTCTTTTTTCCCCACCCTTTCCTTTTAATATGTGTTTGTAACTTTTGATTTTATATAAATGCCGATGTTATTAAAATAATTGCACGCAACGAATATGTTTGATAATTTATTTTCATTACTTGATTTTGAGTGAAGATTTTTTTTATGTCAGTTTTTATCATATTATATATATATATATATATATATATATATATATATATTATAAAACAGTTTTGTTCTCTATTATCCTGAAGAATATAGATAAAAATTGATGAATAATTTTTTTATTAAAATTACACTAAAAGCATACTTATTTAGTAAACATTATAATTTTTATTTTTATCTTTATTTTAATTACTTAGCAAAATTAATTATAAAATACTTTTTTTCAATCTTTTTCCCCCAGTCAAATAATTTAAGAGTTTTTTTAATTATAATTTTTGAGATTGAATTTAAATATCTAAAAATAAATTTTTTTATTTAAAAAATATATTTATTTTAGTAAAATATAAGTATAATAAATATTTTCAAATAAAATTTTCTTATATAGTTTTCATAATGTAACACTACTATATTACAGAAGCTGCAAGAGAATGTGAAAATTAATGTGAATCAAATAGGTGCTTTGATTTTTAAAGAAGTTTTGGGTGGCTTTGGTGTTACGGCATACGGTTAGTTGGGTTGTAGAATACAATTATAGTAACATCTAGAGATGTGTGCAATGATTCTTGTTACAGTCAGCAGAACGATCAGAGCCGGTTGCACGATGCTGTTGTTGACGTGTCACGTGAGTGGTTCCATCTACTGATATGGTGCCACGTGCGGGTACGGGATTGAATGGTGGGTTTTGACATTTTGGGTGCTATTCCCTATGAAACACCCTGTTCAGTGTTGAGTTTCCTTATGTCTAAGTTGGCGAGTCAACACTGTCGTCCTCCTGCTAATGGGTGAAGGATCCAATGAATGGACTAATGGGTAGTACTTGAAAAAAAGAAAGTGAATAAATTATGAGAAAAAAGAAAAGCAAAACATTTTTTTGATAAAAAGCAAAACATGTTTGAGCAGCCGGTTGCATTTATACCCTTATGGGGAACAAACGAATCAACTTTTGTTTGTTACATTGGCCTGCCCATTTTGTCACTATTAACTGGACTGAGCTTGGGACAATGTTATTGGCAATACAGGGGGAGGACTAACCATAGCTACTTTGTTGGAAGGTGGCAAATGTTTCTCAATCATACAGAAAAAGCAGTTGTTAAATGGTGAAATATCAGTTTAACAATCTAACTCATAATAGTGATTATGATATGACAATGCTTAGGGTAAGGTTGCTTTATTGCTACCCTTGCTGAAATCTCTCAACTCTCCGCTAACCATCAAATTACAAAATAACCATAAAAGGCTTGGGGTCAAACTAACAATGGAAGTCCCATGTTGTCCGAGTACAAATTTATACAATCAAATTTCTCTGGACTCGATTGAGAGGAGGCAACCCAAGATGTGTGTAATAAATTGTTTTCTACTATACTAGTAAATGTGATGGTTAGGATAAAAATGAGTTGCATTTTAATGCAAAGATAAGTAAATCCATTCCCCCTGTTTTGTTGAGTGTTAAAAATTGCATGGATTTTCTTTGGTTTGGTAATGCAGGATCTCAAGAAATGCAACCATGTTTGGTGAATAGTAATATATGTTCCAATCATGAAGAATGTGAAGCACGTTCTTCACAGATAAAGCTGACAAAAGGTTTCACAGCAAAGGAATCCGTGAAGGGGCATATGGCAAGTTCTTTCATTCACATCCTCAATAGTCAATACATTTGTTTTTAATAGAGAAGCCTGGATTCATAGAGCTGATATCACTAGTTTTTGTAATAAGAAGCAGCTGGATATTGCTGATTGACAGATGATTGCAATTGACTGCAATTAGCAGGTGAATGTTGTGAAAGGATTAAAGTTGTATGAGGACGTTTTTTCTGAATCAGAAATCTGCAAGCTGACTGATTTTGTAAATGAGATTCATGCTGCTGGCCAGAACGGGGAACTCTCAGGTAAGTCACCATTAACTTGTTATATCTGGTGTGGGTATTCACATTTAATTTCCTTTCTTCAAGCTAATTTCTAGATTTTTAATCGTCTTGGTCATCTGCAGTTACAAATGAAATATGAAGACATATGGCAGCTGCAATTTATTTTTATGGTCTAATAATGACTTTTGTGGGTTTAATTTTGAGACTAGGAACTTGTACAACAGAAAACAAATTTCTTTCAATTTATTTAATAAATCAATGTAGTACATGCAATCAATATCAGGATCTTTGCCATCCCTAATGATAAATCGGGTGTTTTAGGGCTTACTTTATCTTTCTTGACAGTGTTGTGCATCACAAGACAGGTTTAGAGTTAGACACAGATAATGATTATCGCAAGTTGTCCGATTGTCTATAGTATTTTACGTTATAAACCACGTCTTCTTGAATAAATGTAGGTGAAACTTTTATATTATTCAACAAACAAATGAAGGGGAACAAGAGAGAGCTGATTCAGTTGGGTGTTCCGATTTTTGGCCAGATAAAGGACGATGCCAAAAGTAAGGATAAATTATTAAAAGGATCTGATAATTTGACAGTCTTTATCCACCTTAATAAAACTGTAATTTGGTATATATATGTAAGGATGGTATGAAATTCAGCCTTTTCCTTCCTTCTGTTCACAGGCAATATAGAGCCAATTCCAGCACTTCTCCATGGTGTCGTTGATCATCTTATTCAATGGCAATTAATTCCAGAATATAAAAGGCCAAACGGTTGTATCATCAACTTTTTTGAAGAGGTATATATATTTCGTGTTTTCCTGATTACTTTCCATATCCTAGTCCTGTATTAGATCTTAGAAAGTTACTATGAGCATTTGTTTATCCGATGGACTAACATTTAACGATGTCTATACAATTTTATAAATTGTAGGGGGAATTTTCTCAGCCATTCCTGAAACCACCGCATTTGGACCAACCTGTATCCACCCTTCTTCTCTCTGAATCAACTATGGCTTTTGGACGTATTCTTATGAGTGAAAATGATGGGAACTACAAGGGGCCACTCATGCTCTCATTGAAGAGAGGGTATATATTAAACAACTTATACTCTGTGGTCTTAATCTTCCATTTATTTTTAAGATTCTAATCATATTGCTGGATGCAAAGGCAGAATACCTTTAACATCCACTGGACAGCTTGTAAATTAATAATGTGCAATGCAACTGCACAACCTTTCTAGAGGATTAAACTACGAGTTTATATAATTCCCCTATTATTTGGTTAGATTGCTTCCGTTTTCCGTATATTTTTGTAATACATATACTTGCAGACACTTTGGGGGAGAATTTATCTTATGTCCTGAAAATATCAATTGGTAGATTACAGAAGTGACACCTAGTTTCAAAATGTCAGCCTTTGCAGAAGGTCCTTCGGAAGTCTACACCCTGATCCCGGAAAGCTCATTTTTCCACTTATTTTTTTTCTCCTCATTCATATAATATGATTTTAAAGTGGTTAAGTTCTCCTTGTTGAGTAAGTATTAGGTTCTTTTACATTAACGGTCTGAAAGCTTTTGAGAGGGCGTATGGCCATCACATATTGACAGGATTGGCACCTTAACGTTGATATGTCTTAGAAAAGAGATGATAGTTTCCCATTTTAAGCATTAATTCAAACCATTATTTTTAGTTATTTATTATTATTATTATTATGTTTTGCATTCCTTCAATTGTGTTCTTTTGATCCATAACATCGTAGTATTTTACAATACGTGATTAGATGGTGATACACCTTGCAGATCTCTTTTAGTAATGAGAGGAAACAGTGCTGACATGGCAAGGCACGTGATGTGTCCGTCTCCTAACAGAAGGGTGAGCATCACCTTTTTTAGAGTGAGGCCAGACTCTAATCAATGTCAATCACCAACTCCAACCATGACAACTGCGATGACTCTTTGGCAACCTGGCATTGCTAGTCCATTTACTTTGCCAAATGGAGCTCTAAGTGGCTATGAGGCTATGGATATGATGCCCAAATGGGGAATACTTAGTGCTCCAATGGTTATGCTAACCCCTATGCGCCCTATGGCAGTGAACCCCCGCAAACTACCTCGGGGTGGGACGGGGGTTTTCTTGCCTTGGAAAGGGGCATCCAGAAAACACGCGAGGCATCTTCCACCGCGTGCCCAAAAAGGACGCCTTATGGCGTTACCTTCTCCAGTCGAATCACACATGGGAGAGTCCACTTCTGAACCCAGCATTACTGTTGAAGGATAGGTATGATTCTAGTCTCGAAGCAGCCTTGGGTTTAAAGAAATGTGAATCAAGAAAGGTGGTTTTCCCGCCTCCAGCTATTTGGCCTGGACTCTTGGGAGTATTTTATTTTGTTGTACAAACGTGCCCAGGTGCTGCTAGAAGAGTTTGTTTCATTCATTTTTTCCCACTTTTCTCTCTTTCTTTTTAGATAGATAGCATAGAATCTAGTATTTACAATACAGTAGTTTATTATGAGTTCCAATCAGCTTAAGGGCTTTGGAGAAGTCTAGCTTCCAAATATAAAGAATGTGAATTATATCAGCGTTAGAATTTTGTAAAAGAATGATAATTTATATTTTCATTTTAGATAATCAAATCATCATGAGGATGCATGGTTATGATCATCTACTTAATTTTCCATTTTGATGTGTTGTGAGGATCAGTCCTTGTGAAATAATTTGATTTTTATAAATTATCTGTAATCTTGGTAATAACCTCACCTAATGGAATAAGGTTTGGAAGTTGTTGTATCTGTAATGGTAATTACCTGTTGATACAGTTTCAACTGAAAGAAAGGGATTGCTCAATGCTTCCAGTGAAGGTTTTCTTCTGTAGTACTCACTTATCCTGGATCTTTCTACAAGCTCTTATTCAGGATCAATATATCAAATATACGAGTTGTTTAGTTAATTTTTCTATTTTTTTATGCAATAAGCATAGTATAGCTTCATCTCATTGTTTAAATAAAACACTACTAAAACAAATTTGGCACTGAATGGAACAATTAGTTAAAACACAAATTTCCACATGTAGGAGCCATATCCAATTGATTCCAAATGGGCGAATTTACGGGGCCAGTGGCCACCCATAATTATAATCCGATTCGTGAGCTATCAAACAAAAAAAAACAGCAAGGGAGACAACAGCACCCAAGAAGTGTATCTAAAACAATTGATAAAAATTAAAGAGACGTGGCAATAAAAACTGTAGCTCTTCATTCATACATTTAAAATGTGGAACGGTGACACTTCTAAGAAATTTATACAAATATAAAATCAAAGAGAGAATGTTAATTTTCGTATCAAAATCACACTTGCGTCTATATATCACAGAAAGTGCATGACATGTCTCACGCCTTAACAGGCTCATCATCATCTTCAATTTCCCAACTCAAGTCGTCTTCTTCTTCTTCTTCTTCTTCTTCTTGTGCAGCATTCAGGCGCTTCCGCAAATCAACTTTGCTTGGGCTGCCCGTTCTAGTTGCCTTCTTTTCATCAATTATACTAAGATCCTCAATCTCATCCCACTCAAGGTCTTCCTCCTCCTCATGCACCGAGTGCTGACTTGCAACCGCTGCAGATTTTCCTGCGTCATCCGTCCTCTCCATTATCACTTTCTTATCAGAATCTGCAGCAGAGTTATTCTTATTCCTAGTGTTATCCACTTCGTTGCTAGTTTCCTTGCTTCCATAACCCATCTTCTGAACAACCCCTGAACTCTTATCAACCTTCGATTCTTCAGCAAACTCAGCCATCTTGTCACCAAGTTCCTTACTTTGCAATAAACCATCTCTCTTTTCTACCTTAGACCCCTCCTCACCAGAGTTATGTACCTCTTCCACATTCATCGCCTTTTTTCCCACCACACTATCATCAAAGCCACCACGTTGCAACTCAGAATTCTCACCACCAACCCCCTTCTTTATCACATGCTCCGGTTTACCATGACCCACATGCTCATGCTCATCCTCATCCTCATCAACATCATCATCATCATCATCATCAACATCCCAACTCAAATCCTCCTCTTCCTTGGACATTCTTTTCACAAGCCTAGCCCTCACATCCTCAGCTTTCTTAAGCTTATAAACTTTATAATAATACCTAAACCAAAACGTTTCTCGATCAACAGTGTTGGGAACAACCTTTTTGTAAACGCTCTCCATAGTCTCATTCTCTCTAAGAATCCCCTCTATTTCGTCACTCTTCCCTTCCAACGAAACCTCCGATTTCCACCTGTTATAATCATCCAAATCCTCAGGCACTTCCGTGTAAGTACTAACGTCACCCTGGATGCCACGAACCTGCGAATCAAATCTACAATAGCGTTTCGAACTCAAACCCTTTTCGCCGCCTTGCCTTTTCTTGTGGTTTCCGTTATCCGAATCGAGGATGGCATCCTTGCTCTGAGATATGATCTGAGCAGTTCCTTTGACCACGGTGTTTCCTAAATGATCAATGGCGTGGCCCACCGATTCCAAAGACCCCTGAGCAACCTCAATTTCCTTCTTCAAACCGGTGCCGAATTCCTGAAGATCACGACGGTAGGTTTCGATAATTGATTCCGATTTCAAACTCAGGGTTTTCAATAGGCCGCCGAAGTCCCACGCACCGGTGCCGGAAGGATCGGATCGGTGCTCGGTCGGCAAGGAATCATTACTCGGTGCGTCTGGCAAATCATTTCGGTGCGCATTGTCGGATTGGGATTCGGGAGGATCCGGGTCGTCAGAGAAAACGGATTTAAAGAAATCCATGAGGAACGGTGGAGAGTGCAATGCAGAGACAGATATTAGAATTGAATTCTTCTTCTTCTTCTTATCATTATTAATTGTTTAAATTTAATTTTTAGACTGAGGTTAAGATGGAGAATGTTTGGGGAAGAAGCTATAGTGCACGTGGGATATACAGCAACTAATAGCCCGTAATCTAAGTTGAGGATGAGGCTTTATCACAATGCTCTCCACACACTTCTGTCAAGAAACCAGAGTCAAAGGAGCATTTGTTTATTGTTTACTTATACAAACAAATTATAAGAGATACTTTCGGTCCATTAAATTTTTTAAAAGTAAGATATTATTATTCAAAGGAATAAAATACGTTTTTATCAGTTATATGAAATATTATTCTTTTTTATAAAATTTTATAAGTTATACTTTTATAACACTCATTATTTCATATAATTTTATTTTTGAAACTTCATATTTTCTAATACATTTATGAAAAAAACTAATAAGAGTAATATTTTATAAAACATCTTGATATCGTACACCTAGAAATCAAATGATGATGCAGATCATATCATCATCACAACCAATGCCAATGGAAAAGCTATTGCTCCAAGAATTATCCTTGTCTTCTCCAGGTCCCTGAAGAACGAAGGCCTTATAAATAATCAAAGCTTGATCTTTCAATTCCTTTCGCACTACACTGCTAAATGCTAATGCTTAAATTTAATACACTGTAACTCTTTCCTATGTAACACTTTCAACCAAGTTATATATCACCTACTACAGTACTCTTTTCTGTCTGGCAAACCTTAGTTATTTGTTTAAGGACCAATTCAATTTTAAAAGTATTAGTACTCACAATGTATAAAAAATTGAGAATTATCTGTTTATTAATGTACATTCCGTAGTTAGAGTTTAAATCACTATGGAATAAAAGCATCTTGTTATATGTTCCTTTGATCAGTAGATATAACAAGTACCATCACAACACAGTAAAAATTAATGTGGGTTAGGGAAGTATTCTTTTTTATAATGTAATACCGATATGGAAAAGTAAAATTAAAAGCCTGTTATAGGAAGGCCCATTTAGAGGTGAACTACGAGGCCCAAACTGCGAAGTTAGATTAGAGACAGAGGTTCTGAAAATGGTGGTGGTAGCACGGTCAGAATAGTGAAGGAGCAATGAGAGGGATACAGTTACCGTTGAGTCAAACTCAGAAGGTTCGTCTTCAGAAGGCTCTAGAACTGCTTGAGTCTCTCTCATCCAAGGTGAACTCCGATGCTTCTGTAACTGTTGCCGATTCCATCTCCGTCAACCACGAAGACGGCGTCTTAAAGGGTCATGGAACCGCTGACCTTAACGGCGAAGTCGTTGCCACTGTTTGCGGCGTCGTCGAGCGCGTCAACAAACTCGTCTATGTCCGCGCGTTACGCTCCAGGTAGTCTTCCTTCTTAACTTCTCGACTTATTTGAATTTTTGTTATTATAATTGTTAATGGAATGTGGTGAATCGCAGGTACAAGCCTGAGGTTGGTGACATCGTTATAGGGCGTGTTGTTGAGGTAAATTAACAGTTTCAATCGTTTGTTTGAAAATTTTACTGATATGCTTATTGCTCTTCTCTTGCTCCTGTCATCTTACTGATTATTGTGTAGGTTGCTCAGAAGCGTTGGAGATTGGAGATAAATTACAGTCAAAATGCAGTGTTGATGCTTTCTTCTATGAATATGCCTGATGGTGTTCAGGTATTTCGTAACTCCTTTGGGGATGTCTTGTGATTCTTTAAGATTAGAAAGAAGAGTATCGGTAATCAATATAGCTTGTGCACCTTTCTTTTAGAAAATGTAGGCCCATTTGCTTGTGTTTTATTTTTTCTACGATCTTTCTTTTGAATGAAAACATGTTTAACAAATTTATGTTAATTAATCTGGTTTTATTTTATTTCAAAAAGTTTCACTGCATTTGTCTAGGAACAGTATCTTTTGAAAAAAAAAAAAAAACTCTATTGTAATTATAAAAGTACTAGTTTTCAAAGATCATCCAAACATAGCCCCTAAGTAAATGATAATCTTGCTTAATTTTGATAGAATTGAAAGTATTGATGGGGTTTTTAGCTGTGTCAAATTGCTGACATAGCTTTTTGTAGCCAAGGCATCATGTTAATGTTGGGTGGAATTATGGATGAACCGGAAGCAGATGTGTATTTAGAAGTTTCTGCTGTAAAACTTCTACTTCCTATCATTGTACAATGTAATATTTGCTATCGAAGGTTAAAAGCAGTTTGTAGTTAGTATGGTTATTTAATGTATTTAATATTGGTGGGGCATTGATACTGAGATATCTTGCAGTTGTCTTGGGATAGGGTTAGGGCTGGAGCTTTTGGGCAGCTTTTAGGTGCAGAGCCAGTGTTAATTTTGATCATTTGGATTTTGGTGCAATACTGATAATATTGTGACTGCAAGAAATATTTATGACCCGAGTTGTATATTCTGTGTGATTCTATATTTGCGGGTGGTACATGTAAGTCTTTCCTCATGCAGTGAATAAATTGATAACCTTTTTAAGTTTGGGTACAGAAACCCTAATCTTGGAAGAAATGGTGCTCAAGAAATCAGTAAATCAAGGTCTGGGACGTAATTGCCTATTAGGCTATTAGCAAAACAATTAAACAGTTAAGTCCTTCAAAGTTTTGATATATACAGAAAGAAGTATCATACACAATTACATTTGGTTCTGAAAGCACACCGTCGGATTTCTTGCCATTTTGTTTTCATCTTTATCGTACGTTGACTTTTCTGTCCTTATTAATCTTGGAATCCCCTTATTGAAAAATATTCTCTTCACTGCTAGAGGCGGAGGACAGCTGTAGATGAACTGAATATGCGCTGTATTTTTGAGGAGAAGGATGTAGTTTGTGTAAGTAATTGAATTATGTAATAAATTACTGACATTAGATGAAGGAAACAACAGTTTAGTTTCCTGAATTATTTACGTCCACAGGCTGAAGTTCGTGGTTTCCAGCATGATGGCTTACACCTTCAGGCAAGAAGTCAGAAATATGGAAAGGTTTGTAGTCTTGAAAATCCTTGTAACTCGGTTACAATTTTTTTTACTTGCTTCTGCTTTTCCCCCAAAAAGTGTCAGCCAGTTACATAAAGTACGGACAGTAGGAGAAAAGGAAAATTCTATATGAGATGGGTATTGTTGCTTACAAATATGTTTATGCTTTAGATGTTAGGCAAAAATCCTAGAATGAAGTAAAATAAAATTTTGGTTGTCAACTTACGGGGACAATATAAGATGGCATGTAATATGTTCGGACTTCTGATTGCTTAAAATGTTTTCGGATAATATTCTTAAGTCTTTTACTATTACTAATGGCTCTCAGTTGTATGACAGCTTAATAGAGGTCAACTGCTTACTGTACCTCCTTATTTAGTGAAGAGACAAAAACAACATTTCCATCATCTAGAGCAGTATGGTATTGATTTGATACTCGGGTGTAATGGATTCATATGGGTTGGGGAACATATTGAAGCCAAAGATGACTTGGTAGAAGATCAAGTGAACCAATCTGATCATCAAGTTTTATTGCCAAATAAAAATTCCTCGAGTCTTGAAGAACAAGAGAAAAATTACACAACATTGGAGACGAGAAAGTACATATGCAGGGCTGCTAATGCAGTTAGAGTATTATCAACGTTGGGCTTTAACATTACACTGGAAATAATCAAGGGAATTATTGATCTAAGCCTTTCTCTGAATCTTGATATACACGAGATGCTTGGTTCTGAGTTCTGTGTTCTGGTTGCCGAAAAGGAGACAGAAAGGAGAAGCTCAAATAAAAAGAAGCGGTAGATTGTGAACTTGTGATTATAAAGCCAGTTTATAAGCTTTATTATTCCTTTGCTCTTTTGCCAAGGGATAAAGCAGTGGAAAGAAACCGTTGCAACTGTAGCAAGTCTTACTTCAATATTGTTCCAAGATCCACTCTCCTTTCTCTACTTTTGGTAGACATAGTTAGCTTTGAAATGGTTGTTAGTAGATTACCTTATAGTAACAGAATCTGATTTTTGAAAATGTAGGATTTCCTCCATAGTTTGAAGGAGCTTGAAGCTTCTTTTTTAGTTCAAGGTGTTGCAACTTAAGGTGATTTGATGAATAGTTTGTTTGAAAGGCCGGTAGTCACATTATTTTCAGTGTAGCCACTTACCAACCCGTGTCTCTATTCTTTTGTAGTCTTTTGTTTGTTTCTGGATCATCCTTTTGCACAGTCGTCTTAACCAAATTATAGCAAAAATTAATGGCTCAAATATTCAAGTGTCTTGTGGAACAAGTAATATTACTAGTTTAGCTTCATTAAAGTGAGATAGTAATATAAAATGATAAAAAAGGGTGAATTTATCCATAATTGAAATTAAAGTAATTTGCAAACTTTGAATTAATAGTCCTAATTCGAGACTGAATGTATTATATATAACTTTCTTCAATTTACACGCTCTCTCGCACTTACTCTCTGTTGAACAGGAACAAATAGAAAAAACTATCTTCTCAATTTTCTTAAATTTTCATCCAGTTAAGAAAATATGTTACAGATATCATGGCTACATCACATTTCATCTTTGGGAGGTTCTTGATAACATTAGGAAATTTAAAATTACGAAGTGCAAAACTGTTTTAAGAACCTATAGCATTTTCCTGAACCTATAGCACTTTCCATTTGATTATAGGGAAAATGTAATGATGGTATCTTGCTCCCTTAGTGGATGCAAAAGCTACTAGAACTTCAACACGATATAACCTAAAGTTCGGAAGCATGGAGTGCTCCAAGGAATGTTACATCTACTTTGCTGTGTGTAATATAATTGGGATCCATGATAAAGTGAAGAGCCAACATGCTTTGAATAGCAGTTAATTACCAAGTTTTGGTTCCCTAATCCGTTCTCTGAAGCCATCCAAACTGCATGAGACATGATGCTTCAGACAACAAGTTACAATAAAACAAAGCTAACAACAAATTTGGATAATAAGTACCTTCCACGCATACATTCCAAAGAAGGCTATTACATCTGCCGACCAAACAACGGCAAAGGACTTCCAAAAGAATGGAATTGCAACATTGAGCAAAGGGACGAGTAGAAAAAGATAGTTAAGAGCTTCTTTCTCATTCTTCGAGCAATCTCGAGCTCGTAATGAAGGAATTGCTGCACACATACAATGAATTTATATTCATCATTATCAAAGAATGCTGATAATAGGCTTTTTCTGATAATCATAAATTCTTTTCCATCAACTAAAGAATCATAGCAATTAGGACATGAACAAATTACGGATCCTAACTGCATTTGGTTTCACAGGAAAGTATTATTACTCTTTCTCAGAAAAATGATTCTAAATCCTCCTAATTGCTAAATAAAGAAAGAATTGAATATATTTTATGTTTTTAAGACATTATATGCATTCATATTTCCATATAACACTTATTTCATAAAGAAATTATAAGGAATAGTGGAAACATACGGTAGGAGGATATAGTATTACTCTTCTCAGAAATGCAAAATTTCCTACAGAATGGTAACTAGCAAAGCATAAAGTAGCAAGCACTTGTTCTTTCGCAACATTCAATTCAGAACGAAGTTGGCAAGTAAACACTTACTGAACATCCAAATGGACCACATTCCCATTAATCTCCAAATGTCGGGTTCGTTCGAAGGGAATATGAGATTAAAGGACAAAGCTCCACCTAACAACATTGATGCATACCCTTGAACCTCAAAAACACTGTACAAGGCTGTTCCTGGTACTGCAGGATTTTTTGTAGCCGTAGAAGCCCTTGGTGCAAAGGTGGCAGCAGTCTTCTGAGCAACCTGTCACATAAAAAAAGAAAATTCAGAACATGCCACAACAGAAACTTTTTTTAAGCGAATTTCTAAGAAAGCAAGGTTTTTAACGAAATGGACATCCTTTAAATCTGAATTGAATTGGAATTGAAGGATGATCCAGTACTGGGAAGTAACCTTTTTAAGTTCCTTGTCTATTGGAGCAGAAAAAGTGGATGTTCTATCGTTGTTCTGTTCCACTTTCATCTCCTCTGCAAGTTCCTCATCTACTGTTTGCGTGTCTAGTTCATCGGAAGTGGCACGTGCAGAGAGTGTGCCGCGAACCAGAGAGTGTGATAAGAAGTTGGTAGTAATCGACTTTGGAAGCTTTGTGGTGTTTAGGACCGAAGAGACAAAAGGGTAAGGGACCCCAGAAAGGTAACAATTTGTGGAAACAGGTGAGATCAATGTGTTCATCTTTTGGGGGTTTTGAAATCACGTTCTCATCGGAAACTGAAACTCGACGACGATGAGAATTGAGAAGATGGAAGATAAGGAACGTGAGGTGGAATTGGAACGCAGCAAAGCAAATAACGTCTAAACGACAACGTCCACGAACCCGGTTGAACTCCACGGTCTCAATTTACTTATTTCGCCATTTTGTTTTAATTTACAAAATAATTTTCGTATTCTTTTTAATAAAAATAGATGATTTAAATTAATTTAATCACATATTTCAATAATATTTAACGATTGAAATCAGATTTATTAAAATTGGTTTTATTTAATTTTACACCAAACAGTACTTCACTTTTTACTCGTTGCATGGGCTTGTAAATTTTAAATTAATGATCAAATATGTTTGTGGAAATATGTTTCCTTCTCTTTGAAAAAATTAAGTTTTTATTAATTTTATTTAAGTATTTAAAAAAGTATCAGAAAACTAATTGTTTGACAATTATTTATAAAAATAATAAATAATAATAAAATACGTTTGCTTAAGTTAAAAAGGTTTAATGATATATACATATAATTTTTAATATATTTTTGTATAATTACTCATTAGATAATTATGGTGTGTGCGTCATGTTTCTTAGACAGATTGTACTCCTCAAATGACTTCTCTTAAAAAGTTTCTTCTGATTAGTATGATGTAATCGAATTTACTGTTTATGCACAATATAAAGAAAATTAAGTGATTTTGTCCAACAACATATATTAACATTGTCGTCGACACTCAGTAATTACAAGTGGAAAAAAGAGACAGCAGCACATATTACTATTAATTATCTTGCAGCGAGAATATTATAATCGATGATGCCACTCAATCCAAAGCTTAATACACCAGTTTCTCGATTTACAGTAAGAATATTATAAAAGTTAGGCTTAGAAAAATTATTAACTATTAAAAAGTCATATTTATATTTAATAAAAAGTTAAAACTATGTAATCTTTATATTTTTATAAATTAAAATTAAATAAAAATTTTATAAGGATTAAGAAAATATTTTCAGAGATAATAACAAGCATTGAATATCAACAAAGTCGATATGTCCGAGTGGTTAAGGAGACAGACTTGAAATCTGTTGGGCTTCGCCCGCGCAGGTTCGAACCCTGCTGTCGACGAGTTCTTTTGTTTTTCATTTTAAATCAGTTTTGGTGGAAAAGCAAAGGTGGATTCATTATTCATGATAACTGTAGTAAAATTCAACGATGAAATGCTCTCCAGACCTTTGGACCCATCCAGTTCAAGGTGTTTACTAAGAAGGGTTACATACACATACCACGTTCAGTTTGGGTATCATTGTATAATGGACCTATATTAGACATTTAGACAATAATGGGAAACTCGTACTAAATTGAAGGGTGCAGGGGTGTAAATTTGAGACTCTTGAACACACAAGTAGTAATATAGTTTTAGTGTTGTGGCCCTGGTGGGCTTCAATTAGGTTTATGCATTAATTAATGGCCCTCTTTAACGACTATGCATTATTATTGATGTTTTGAGAGCACTAAGCAATTTACGTAGTCAGATGTTAATATCGAACCATCTTCCAACAACAAAAGCTCTGGCTTTGATTCGGATAGGGTTATTAGCTAACCCTACGAATGATGTGTCAACTTGGGGTGCTCAACTACCTGTCTTTAGTTTCAGCTCAAGAAAAAAGATAAAATTTCAGCAAATAATTTAGCATTCCCTTTCAGAACGAACAATCATTGAGACAATGAATGAATTGTATCTGTTCAGTTCACTAAATCTAGAAGAATATTTCATCTCTTATTCTTGTAACATTAAATTTTGAATTATAATTATGGCTATCTTTCATTGAGGAGCTCTGATAAAAGGAGTGTCCGTTTTAAAAACGCTAAATTGCAACTGTATAAGCCAAACATTGGGCTATATTATTTATGTAGGGCACACCTACTGAACCATGCACGTTCTCTAATAATGCATGTTTAGCCCAGCTCATTCACAGCCTACTGTTGTATGTCTAAATACCCTTTACACAGAGATTCTCTTCCCAGAGAATATCTTATTTTGGCATTGAAACTACTAGCTTTGGATAAAAAGCAAGGGTCCTTGTGTAAAACGCCCTAACTTTCTTTAATTTATTTATTTCGCACTAAAATTATGTATAAGAAAGGACGTGTAAGAGAATGGGAAAAGGATACCAAAAGCGTAAGTATCGAAGTTCAATAACGTTAAATTGGACAACACGTACTTCTTTAAAATAGTTAATATTATTAGTTTACAAGATTACTCACGCATCTTAAATATTCTAGCATTGTCAGATGAATATGAAATGGTCTCCTATATATAGTTATAGTGAAAGGAACTTCCAACGGCCAGAACCATAACTTGGTTTTAAGAATAAAAAATTTGTCAATGTGCAATGATTTCCTGAGTTTCAAAGACCCAATTTATGCATTTGGCATCTTATTTGACACATCAAATCCACCTAGACCCACATATTAGTTCATAGCAATAAATATATATTACTTTACCTAATCTTTATTTTTAAAAGGTTGATTTTAAATGGGCACTATTTGTCGACATTTCGATTTTGGTTTCCCGTCTCATAAAAAATATTTCTACTATGTTATTCCCACTGACATATACTATGGGCTTGTTTAGCCACTCATTTTCATTGCCAAAAGACCCCGGTTCCTGTCTTTCCTTTTCACTTAAAACAATTATCATCAGCGGTATCAAATCCCAATTAGTAAAACCACAAGCGTCCTCTATTCACATGGAATCCAATTCGAAATTGTAAGTTAAATTATTGAAGTTGTAGTAAAATTGAAACTAAACAACTTCACGTCATTTGATTCATGTTGGTAATTCATATTTTATCTTTTCTCCGATATATATCTTGTACCAGGTGTGGAGCATTTACCCTGTAAGGCTGTAACAATTGGAGAATTGGTATTGTATGGGCAAAGTCAATAGCATCATAAATAATAAAAATAGAGATTAATATCTGATGTCATGAATGAAAAACGTAAGAAGCATAACTTACTAGAGCCTACATTATCTATTGTTTTTCTTATAGCTAGCACCTTCTTTTAGGAAAGGTTAATTATCTTTTTCTCAATAGAAGTACTGAATACCTGTATGTATTTATTTATAACTACTTATCTTCTGATGAAACCAAACAAGAAAAGACAAATTAAAGCCATGTTATATGAAAAATGCTGAAGACCGCAAACAGGAAGGTGATTAGTTGAGGGTGAGGTCCCCATTCCAACAAACGTTGATGGTGTTTTATCATAGAAAATCTCACTTGTCAGCACTCCTAATTCTTTGGTTTATAATGGTCATGGGAGAGGGGTACGCCGGGTTTCATGTGACGTGGCGTTCCAAATAAGAATTCACTTGCACGTTGATAAATGAGCCGATTGAGTGAACCTCCCTAAAAATATCCCTTAAAACTCAGGATTTGGATAATTCAATTTAGCATCCGAATAAATTTTAATTTTTTAAATTTGATCAGAAAAAGTCTGCATAAAAAATGAGTGCAATGCGAAGTCTATGGGCATAACTTGCTACTTGTTATATATTATATGCTTTTCGTGAATTGGTTTGTTCCATTATCTTAATAAAACTAGATATTGATGATTTGCTTATAATCTATATACAATTATATACGTAAAAATAAGAGTGTGTTAAGTAACGTTGCTTCGATGGAAGGCTAAACGACAGTGTGATGGTGTTATCTTTTGATTTCTGGAGCAGTTGGGGCCTGACAATGGCAATATGGCATGTTCTAGTCCCACCTATCTTTATTTTGTTTTCAGCTTAATAATGTCGCCTTCATCCCAAAAATAAACTAAACTTCTCTTATCACTGATTTCATTAGGAAAGAATAAATAAATAAATAAAGCTATTGCCAAATGTCACCAACTCATTTCCACGAACCCACCAACAAAACTTGCAACTACTCTCTTCACACCTTAAAATTTAAAACCATGCTTTCAGGTAGCACAAGAAAGAGTTGAAAACTTCAAATTATTCTGATGGAGCAAGAACCTGTTCTTTCTCATTCCCACAACCACTTCCACTTCTCCATCTTCCTCAAACTCCTCAACAACAATCTCACTCATTTTTGTTCTCGTATTCGCTGGCCACGACGGCGTCGTTCCAAATCCAAGCTACTCATCAAGAGGTTCGGCAAGACCCTCCCCAAACCTCAATACGACCCAACTACCGAACCTGCATCTCCCAAACCAATACGAATCGCAACGTTCAACGCAGCACTCTTCTTCATGGCACCGGCGCTTCCTGAAGCAGAGAAAAGCGTCACGTGGGAAGAGAGCCTGGGAAGGCCAAAGTCAACACAGGAAGGACCGAGAAGCATTCTGAAGCAAACGCAATCTCCGGTGAACGGTAGGTCGAAATTGAGAGTGTCGATAAATTTACCGGAGAACGAGATATCGGTGCGGCAATCGTGGAGTTTCTCGGAACACGAGAGAAAAGGGTGGAGAATGGTGGAGGGAGGAGCAGAGAGAGAGAGACAGAGAAGAACGGTGGTTGAAGTTCTGAGAGAGTTAAACGCCGACGTTTTGGGTCTGCAAGATGTGAAAGCCGATGAAGAGAATGAGATGAAGCCTTTGTCGGATTTGGCTCGTGCTCTTGGCATGAACTACGTCTTCGCTGAAAGCTGGGCACCTCAATACGGCAACGCCGTTTTGTCTAAGTGGCCCATTAAACGCTGGAAACTACACAAACTCTTCGATCACACCGATTTCAGGTAATTCATTACCACTTTACAAGTTTTCATCAACATTCTTCTCCAGAAATTTAAGATGATTTGATCATTACTTATTCACTCAAGACCAATTCATTAAATATTTTAGGGTCCTGCACTGCTATCAGAATACTGTTTAAGAAATTAAAACTTTTTTTTATAAAAATTTATGTTAAGATGCATTGTAGATTATAAAAAAAAAAAATTTTTAACTTTTAATTAATTTCTACAGCTTTTTCTCTACTGAAGATTTTTTTCCTCAACTTTATTTTTATTAGATTTTGTGGGTTTTGTAAAATATGCATAAATAATTGTTTTCATCTATATATTCTTGAAAATTATATCCATTTTTAAAATATATTTTTATTTTTAATAAAAATTTGTCAAATTTAACCTTTTGAAATTAATTATAAAAAATAATGTTAATAAAATCATAAACTAATTTTAGGTTGGATATCAAGTAAATTTGTATGATGCCATGAAGGAACAGTTTGTCATGACCTTGGAATATTTATTGCAAAAACTAAATAATGCTGAGGTTTCAAGAAACAGTTAGACGTCCATTTTGTCTGATTTTGAAGGAGACTCTAGGAGAGTACGAATGTTATATCACTGTTCTTGCTCAACTTGATAATAATTAAATGTAAGAAGTTTGTCTTACTTTACTACCAAGGTATTTCTTGCAAATGATTATGGAAATAGTATTAGTGGAAATCCAGCCTGTGAAAATAATATACAATAAAAGGAAATGTCTTAGGAAACAGCGGGTGTTAGAGAATGACTGAGCAACAATGGTGAATGTGACAAGCAACAAATTGTAATTACATGACAACAGGAATGTTCTCAAGGCCACTATCGATGTGCCCCAAGCAGGTGAATTCAACTTTTACAGTACCCACCTTGATCATCTTGATGAGAATTGGCGGATGAAGCAGATAAATGCAATAATTCAATCTAATGATGAACCGCACATTTTAGCTGGAGGCCTTAATTCATTAGATGAATCAGATTATTCCCAAGAAAGATGGACAGATATTGTTAAGGTATATCCAACGTAACCTCAATATATTTGTTTTTCTCTATTTAATTTTTTAAGTAAGTGTAAAGTTTTTTTATATTGTGACTCAACTCTCGATTGCCATATCAATAAAAATCATTCATTTTTGTAGTTATCGATATACAAATTTGTACATAGACAATAAACTAAAATTAAACTCTTAGTTTTTTAATGTAAAGAATAATTAATTTCTATCAGTTGGTGCATTTGTGTCCAGTACTATGAAGAGATGGGAAAGCCAACACCAAAGGTTGAAGTGATGAAATATCTAAAAAGCAGAGACTACACAGATGCTAAGGACTTTGCAGGGGAATGTGAGTCTGTTGTCATGGTTGCCAAAGGCCAAAGTATCGCACCAATCTCTCAATCTTTTATTTTATGAAAGTACATTTTAATTCTTTGGTTATTGAAATTTCAACTTTTTCTTATACAAATTTTCTTAAAAGTTATAAATATTATGCAGGTGTCCAAGGGACATGTAAGTATGGAACTCGGGTAGATTACATATTATCATCTTCAGATTCTCCATATAAATTCGTTCCTGGGTCCTATTTAGTCCTTTCTTCCAAAGGGACTTCAGATCATCACATAGTGAAAGTTGATGTGGTAAAAGTAAGTAACAGTCCTCAAGAAAATATGATAAAGAAGCAGCGACAACCAAGACAAAAATTTGTAAGAATAAAGCAATCAACTCCATCAAATTGTATATGGAAAACTGACACTGGAGATATAGATTGAATTATTTTCTTTCCACCTCCTTTTAGATTAACACGATCATAGTTTTGGAGATGGGGCAGTTGGTTTTGTTCCAGCTTCCAGCTTCCTCATTGTGTTTTGTATAGTGTTCTTCAAAAGATTGCGAAGAATATGAAAGTTAACAGTGAGATTAATGTGTTAAAACATTTTTACTAATTTATTGGATTTGTATAGCTTTTGATTTGATTACTAAGTCATAAATCTATGGGAGTGATTTCTTGCTACTCTCAGTTGTCGAAGTCCATAAATGCACGACAATTCTACAAAAAAGTGATTGCTTGCTACCAAAAGATGCATTCCGTATTTCACATGACAAATTTAGAAGGAGAAATCTTATTTATACAAATCTTTGGCAAGTTTATTATAATATTGTAAATTAAAAAATAATTTATTATTTTATAGCAAATTTGAAACAATTTCTTAATTTAGGGTTTTTTGCCATGTGGCCAAATTTTCACTAAACGGCTGGGGAAAGTAATTAATTTTTAAATTTTTTAATATTTATTTCACCACAAAAAGTATAAAATATGACTTCTTAAAGCGGTTAATTTAAAACCGCTCTCATAGGTCTTTTGAACCGCTCTCAGTATTCTATTGTAGAGAGCGGTTCCTTTTGAACTGCTCTTAGAAGTACATATTAGAGAGCGGTCCTGCGAGAACCGCTCTCTTAGGTATATACAACCAATTGCATGTTGACACGTGTCTTCAGACGGTAAAGGAATTTCGCCAACCGAATTGCAAAATATATAAATACAAAACTCTAATTACTAGCATAAAATTAAATTAAATTTTTATTTTTTCATTTTTCTAATTTAAATTTACATATATTACATTTAGTTTATAATCATATAAATTATATAATAATTCCTGTAAACAAATTTTATAAATCTTAATTTCTGTAAACATATTTTTATTTTTTCATTTTTCTAATTTAAATATTTATAATAATTCCTGTAAACAAATTTTATAAATCTTAATTTAACATATCTTCTTAACAATTAATTATAATTTTATATTTTTATTAACTATATCACATTTCATTTTTTCTAAAAACACATTAATCTATATATAAATAAATAAAAAACTATTTAATTTTTAAATTCTTTTTTACTAACCTTTAATAAACTTTCAGCAAATTCTTCACTCACCCCCACTTAATTATCAAATCACTTACATACGTAGAGTTTAAAAAAATTACAATATTATTATCAGATTTTCTAATTAACAAAATCAAACTAAAAATAATATATAAATGCATATTATAGTTCCATACCTCTTAAATTCGTAACAGTATTTGATTCTTCACAGCAAATCAAAACAAATTTTGAAACTTCTGCCTGGAGGACGATGATAGAGGAGCAGAGACGGAGAAAAGGGAAGAAGGACGTCGGTTTCGCTAACTGCAGGGCGAAATAAACTTTCGCCAGTAGCAGCGCGAATCATCTCAGATGTTGCCACGTGTATCAAAATCTCCCCAGCTGTTCATTTTAAATTTAAGAGAGCGGTTCAAATGAAACCGCTCTCTAATATGTACTTCTAAGAGCGGTTCAAATGGAACCGCTCTCTAATAATGAAATTTCAGAGCAGTTCATATATGAACCGCTCTCTAAAATTACTACTGAGAGCGGTTTTAAATTAACTGCTCTAAGAAGTCATATTTCGTACTTTTTGTGACGAAATAGATATTAAAAAATTCAAAAATTAATTACTTTCGCCAGCCGTTTGGCGAAAATTTGGCCACGTGGCAAAAAAACCCCAGATTGAGAAATTGTTTCAGATTTGCTATAAAATAATAAATTATTTTTTAATTTACAATATTATAATAAATTTGCCCAAATCTTTTCTACAATTAAAAGAGATAAAAAAAATAGAATAAATAAAATATAAAAAATATTATAAAAATATGGATAAGGGAAATAAAAAAAGAATAAACTTTTTTATAAATATATAAAATATGTAAAAAATTATTTATTAATATTAATTTTAAATAATAAAATATTATAAAATTAAATAATAAATAGTGTTACGTGGTAAAGCGGTAGAGCCGGCAAGACTAAATAATAACTTTTTAATATTTTAAAGATTAAATATTAAAAATAATTATAAAAATATATTATAAAATATGCTGTATTTATAAAAAATAATAACATATTAAAGTCTGTTACTTAAATATAAAAATTATTATTATAGTAGTTTATTTGTACTGAAAACAACGCCAATTGAACCCAATTTTTCATTTTTGATTTTTGAGTCACCAACAATACAATGGAGGAAAAGGGTTGTGTGAAAAACACAAGACAAGACTGAAAAACATGATGACAGACGAGGAACTGATACAGAAGCTTCAAGACTTAACCAACAACGCCCAACATCACCAGTTGGACACTCTCCGTTCAATCCTTCTTCACAATGGCACTGTACACTATCTACAATCCAAAGGGAACCATCTTCTTCCTCTCGATCCTGCCACTTACACACGTGTCATTCCATTGTCTTCCTACCAAGACTATGTTGAGTGTATCAACCAGATGGCCGATGGCAAAGACGACCCTTTTCTCTCTGTTGATCCTCTCCTCTGCTTCTTCTACAGGTCCCCTTCTTCTTTTTCCATGAAAATTACTTTACACTTCTGAGTTTTCTTTTTGTTTCTGTATGTTTTAATGTTTTTTGGGCACTTAAAGTTGATAGATAATTGAGGGTCTTAATTTTGTAGTATGTGACTTTGTTTTTGCCTCAGCTCTGGAACAAGCTCGAGCTCCATGAAACCTAAATTGATCCCTTACTTTGATTCAACCCTTTCCAAAGCTGCCTCCTTTATTGCTCACCGAGGCAGTGTTGCTGTTCTTCAAAGGTTAATTAATCAAGTAAATCTTAATTTCTGGATAAATTTGAAGGATTTTATTCTTATGTTTGTTCAACAAGATGAGTTTTAACTTTTGAACCTCAATGCAGGCTATTTCCTCCAAGGCCTGAAGTCAACAAGATCCTATATTTTCTTTATGCTGACAATATTACTACTACTAAATGTGGCTTGAAGGTCATGGCTGCTTCTACATACCCTTTACAAAGTGGTAAGGCGACCCCTCAACAACTTGCTGCGCTTTCCAGTCCCCCAGAAGTGATTCTTGGATCTCATGTTGAGCATCAAATGTACTGTCACCTTCTCTGTGGCCTTAGGAATCGTGACTATATAGATGGAATTACAACCCCTTATTCCATAGGTTTGATCAAAGCATTTGGTCTTCTGAAGTCCAAGTGGGAGCAGCTGTGTGATGATCTTGAACGTGGGTTTCCGAGTGACGAAATCTCAGAGGTGCCAATGAGGGAAGCTGTAACTAAGTTACTTGGTGGACCTCATCCAGAATTGGCAGATCATATAAGATTAATCTGCGAAGGTGAGAACTGGGGTGGAATTGTGTATAGATTGTGGCCAAATATCCGTTATATAAAGTGTGTTACCACTGGAAGCATGAAGCAGTACTACCAAAAGCTCAAGCATTATGCAGGAGAGGTACCTATTTTAGGAGGAGATTACTTTGCTTCAGAGTGCTGTGTGGGTATAAATTTAGACATAATGCAACCCCCCGAGACAACACAATTTGTGATACTTCCAAATGCTGCTTATTTTGAGTTTCTTCCATTTAGCATGGATGAGGACAATGATGTTAGCAAAGAAACAGTGGACCTCAGCGCTGTAGAGGTTGGGAAGATGTATGAAGTGGTTGTTACAACTTATAGAGGATTTTATCGCTACCGTTTGGGTGATATAGTGAGAGTTGTTGGTTTCTATAATTCATCTCCACTTGTGGAATATGTGATGAGAGCACCTAAAACTCCGGCTGAGATTCTGACAGAGAGAGACTTAATTTCAGCAGTTGAAAATTTTCAACGTGCACTTAGTGGTGCTATGAGAATTGAGATTGTTGAGTTTGCAAGTTTCTTGGACCAGGAGTCAAGGCCAAAGCAGTTGAAGGTATTTATAGAAGTCCAAGAGGAATCTAGTTTTCTGGAGGATAAACTGGAGGAATCAGTTATAACTTTTAGAAATTGTATTTCATCTCTCGAGACTGGTTTGGGAGCTTTGTACAAGGTGCAGAGGGGTAAAGGTGAGCTGGGGAAGTTACTAATATTCATCCTAAGGCATGGAGCTTTTGATCAGTTATTAGCTTTAGCCATCAAGAATGGAGCATCAGCTAGTCAATATAAACCCCCCAAGATTATTCGGAATCAGGAAGTTGTCAAACTCCTGGAAAAATTAGCTTTTGTAACAGTATCATTGGATAGTTAATAATGTGCTGTGAATTGGACTTTCAAGCAATACCTTTGTATCTACACCATCTGAAATTGAAAGAAATTCAAAGACGAAACTTAGGTGTAAGATTATAAATGCTTTGGATGTTGTTTTTCACTTTAAATTAGAATTTTACCTTGATAATTCATGCAGTAAAGGTCAATGTTAAAGTTTAGTATACATTCCTACGGTGAAACTTCAATCTTTATTGCACAACAATAACAAAATCACTTGCGCCTAAGTTCTGTTTGAAATTCAACTCTGCTGAGGATTGTTGATCTCAAACTTATTACATATAGATATTTGTAATTGAAATATTAGTCGTTTGGGTTATACTAGTTAATACATGTTTTCAGGAGGTTATTAAACGTTATGTTTAGCGAGCTTTTGAAATTCTTTGTCAACTGCAGTAAGGTGAAAAAAACATTCTACATTTATTCTTTTGGTGGTTATGTTTACCTTGTAAATCTATTACTTGTAAACCATATATCATTTCAATATATTTGAGTTCTCAGAATGCAATAAAATGAGTCTTTTTTCCTCTCTCTTTTATTGGAGATAAAGTGCAACTGCAGATTCTACATTGCTGCCTTGGAGTTTATTTCACGAATCATTGACATTAAGACAACCAGTGTGAACTGTAAAACTTGAGAACGAATTTAATCATTAATACAGAAGCAAAGCAACAATAAATAATATGGCTAGTGATTAAATCATCAAACTGCATTTTTTTTTCCCCACCAGACACTGCAAATTACAAAACTCCAGCTTCCTACGAGTTAATGGCTGCTTGTAATTGTTCCAGGCTTTTACCCTTGGTTTCTGGCACCACTACAACTATAAATAATATAGCTAGTGCATTGATTGCAGCATAAAGAATGAAGGTACCTGAAAATCATATGCACAGGTGAATTTACTAGGTTTCCTGCACTTCAATCTTCTAGGATTATTCCCAAGTGCTAAACTAACGGAGTATCATATAATAATGTTGATAATTACACCTTACAAAAAAATTGAAAATTAGAACTTGTAGTTATTTACCGGAAGGGTTCCAGCTCATGAGAAAGTTGAAAGTATAAGAACATAGCCATGCTCCAAACCAGTTCACTAATGTGGCCATGCTTCCTGCCAGCCCTTTAATATTGACAGGAAATATCTGCAACCAAAGGTAACATCTGAGCAAGATTTGTGCTATCTCTGGGCTAAAAATAAATATTGCTGATTGACTGATTCTGATAACAGAGAAGATGTAATTTGCAAGTTGATTTTGGCATATTAAAAAGCACAAATAGCTGCTCCCCAAATCAAGAAAAATTAATGTAATTACTCCAGGGGATCAACATTTTTCTACTTCTAAAGTGCTACTCTTATTCTGGATATTCTATGTTGTATATGTTCAATTAATTTGCTTTTCTTGTGCTTATTGGCATTACAACTTGAAAGCCGAGAATTTGTGCTTATAGGCATTACAACTTGAAAGCCGAGAAAGAAGGGTGGGAGCCAAGTACCTCAGACATTACAACCCATGGAATTGCTCCCATTCCTATTGAAAATGATCCAATGTAGACCTAATATCACCAACAGAAAGAGTAATGTCACATGTCACATGAAGGATGAGTTCATATTTCCGAGACGTGTCCAAGGAAACAGCATTTAAGAAAGAAAGAGTAATGATCATACCAGTATGCCTGTTAAAACGAGCCCTGGGACAGCCGCCAAACCCACCTCGTGAACCTTTTACAAACAAGGCTATCACTTTCACTCAATTATCAGGACTAAAAACCAGAAGCCATAGGGTTCTCAGTTGGGATGTACCTTGAGATAGAATGCAACTGCTGCAAATATACATCCGGCGACCAATCCTGATCCAGATAACTAAATGAAGCCAAGAAGGAAAAATAAGGATATTGTATGTGAAGGGGATCTCTAGAATAAGCCAATGAAAGTTTGAAGATAAACTGTTTTGTGATTTGAATCTACCAATAGTAGGGGCTTCCTGCCTGCTTTATCTATGAAGGCTGCTCCAATACCTGTGATCACAATCTGCAAAAGAAAAAAATCACGATTTTTGGTTGGGCGGAAACAAATATCAGATTTTCCAAGAACAATGGTTAAGTTAAAAATTAAAAACCTGAAGGCAAGCATATATTATAGTCCCGATGGTGGGAGAAAATCCTGACATAAAATCCACAAATATTCATTGCCAAAATAAAAGGAAAATTTAAATGCTTCATGAAGTTTATTCAAGTTTTGAACACACTTCAAATGGGAAGTCTGGCTGTAGGTGTTACAGGCTGTGTGCAAATGGTGGTATGCAAGAAAGCATGATGGTATCAGAAACTCAGAATGCAGACTTATGATTACAGTAATTCTCAAAAGTACCTGCTAGCTCAAAAATACTGCTGGTATAAAAGCAAATTCCATTGATACCCCCAAATTGCTGGCAGACCATAAGTCCTATTCCAATCTGGTCATTGATATTTAAAAGTTAGTTATTTGTTGGCCTTTAATGGTGTACTTGCTTGGGTTGGTGAAAAATGGGAAGATGAAAATTTTGAATGAAAATGACTTCAGATTTGCATGATACAACAAAAACATGAAAAGGTGGAAAATAAACTGTAGATTATCTCCACTCATGGTTGAAAATCACTTTCAACCTGTCCTTTATTTTCCACCTCTTCAACTAGTCCACTAAGCACATCCCTAAAGAAAGTGAAGGATATTATATTTATTATAATGACATTATCTGAAAGGAATAGAAAACAGCTTTCAATAATAAGTTGAGTGGAGAGAGGCATAGTTACAGTGACTGAGCGCAAATATCTTCTTTGAAACAATTCCAGCAGCTTGGATTTTGGGAGCCGTTCTAAAGAAGTTATATAATCCTGTGTGGCAGAGACAGATACACCCTCATGCATTATCATTGAAATGCTTTGTCTTTAATATTGTTCATGGAAGCAAAGTCACAGAATTATATCTTAAACCAACAGTGTATGAACCTGAATTTCCTCTGCCTCTTCAGATATATCAGCATCTTTGCCACGAAGTACCTGAAGTGCTGCCTCAAAATCTTTATGACGCCCTCTCTTTGCCTGCAACCATTGTTTGGTTGGTACTCTTGATGTTATGAAAACCACTGAATGTTTCCCTCTTACAAAAACATGAATATGCGAATTAATAGTTTCTTACCAGCCATCTAGGAGACTCTGGAATAAAAAACAGACCCAAAAGCAATACAGAAGTGGGAATGAGGCCTGCAATTGCAAACACTTAGACAGTGATTCAACAAAGTATCATTTAATTTATCTTTTTATAAATTTGTCTGCTCTGCCTATTCCCATATTATTGGAATTACATTCAAATAGGGAATAAAATTCACCAGTTAAAGCTAAAGCCCTCCATGAAAGTACATTTCCAATTACGAATGACACCGACACTGCAGCAACAATCATAAACTGCAAGGGGTAATGAAATGAAAAAGTAAACTTAGATGTCATTATTACCTTTATTGATTACTGTTTACTACAGAATCAACAAGTCCACTGGGAAAACTAATATGCATCTGGATTCCAATGATTCCCAAGTTACAATAGTTATTACAAAAATTTACCTGATTTAAGGTAGTCAGTGCCCCCCGGAGTTCTTTAGGTGCAATTTCTGCTACAAAGACAGGAACCTTGTACAATTCATCAAACATATGATCAAACATTAATAAATTGAACTTGCAAGTGTCTATACGAAAATTTTCGAATTAAATGGTTTTTGGGAGAGTAGAAGTACAACCAACCACATATGAAAAAACTCCCATTCCATATCCTGTTGCTAGTCTCCCAATGTCCAAAGGCACTGGACCCTGTATGAATGGAAAAGAAGTTCTGTTAGGTTATAATCCTTGTTCCTTGGGGAACGGTTTTGACAAAAACATGATACAAGTTTTGTAGTAACCTCAGAAAAGTATATAACAAGCCACCCTGCGACACAGAAAGCACTTGACACTCTCATTGCCTGCATATATTCCAAAATCAACCTTTTCACACCGTGGATACCCCAAACAAAAATAATTAACAAGTTAGTAGTCAATCCCAAACAACCATCATAATTTTTCTCAACTAACCCCTTTTCGTCCAATAAAATCAGCAATAGGCCCACTTGTTATTGCCCCAATCATTGCACCAAAAGTCAAGATGGAGCCAAACAAGGAGTACTGCATCCAATCAATACACGAGAAAGCAAAGAAAATTAGATCAAATCCAAGCTAGTTTGCTAGTGCTGGCCATCAAAATCCACAAAGTAAAGGGTATATATCATATATGAATACATAATAACCATAAGTTGCAAACAAATTCTAAGGGTGATGCACTTGCTTTATACTCCAAAGCTTCAATAACTATTAGCTTACCTCCGCCAAAGATAAATTGAGATCCTTCCTAATAGCATCTTGAGTGGGAGACGAATATCCAGCCTGGAAACAGAACAACAATCATTCCACAGAGAAACATACATCTATCAAACTCAGTCAATTAAACGAGCATACTTAATCTCTTCTCAGATATTATTATTATTATTATTTGTTAGTTTCACAAGGTCACAAATAGTGCTTCTTTTTGGGATTTCAAGGAAAAGTAATGTTACAAAGAGTTCAACTATAAACAAAACACTTACACAAGTTCCAAACTCATAAGAACCACAGACTGCGACAAATGTAGTGAAGTAAACCATCCATGGATGCCCTTTGCTTGCATGGACAAGCTGGTTCTCCAGTCCCTCCACCAGTGGCTCTCTGATTCCATCCTCTTTCTTTGCCATGTCCTCACTTCTTTACGTAATCACTAGTTCCTTGGTGTGTATTACTATTACTACGATGTTGTGTATATATAAGAAAGGCCTAGCAAAAGACTCACATGCTGCTATGTGAGCAAGAAATCTTTTTACTCTTCTAAATCACCAGGGAAGGGATAAAAGTTAGAGTTATACTATTTTTATAACATTTTTTAATATATTTATTTCTCAAGAGTTAAAAAACAGCAAGTAGTGTACCACATAACGCTGGCATTTTTGGAATTATCTTAAACTTGACCCAGGTAGATCTATGTTTGTGGGTGGAACCAGGAGTAGCACCCGGTCAAAGTTATGCGGTGTAAAATATAATTATGAACAAGAAAATGGAAAATGATAAAACTTATGTACAGTACTACAAAAATAGTTGGTATTATTCAATCATAATTAAAATTTTATTTATTTTAATAATTTGTATCTATCATGTATTATTAAAGTAAAGTCTAATTTTAATTCAAGATTAATATTACTTATAATATTGAAATTAATTTATATCTTGGGACAATAATTGCCTGAGCGTCTTGAAAGTATTGATTGTAGGGGGAACTTGTGGTTCATTCATGACAGAGGCAAAAGCGAGCTATCTCCATCTAAATTCACTTCGGGTGATGACAACGTTGATTTCACGTACTGAATTACGGTTCCCTGACAATAATATAAGATTTTCGTGCGCGTGGATTCTCAGTTATTTATTTATTTATTTTAAAAAAATAATTATTAAAATATAAATATTTTAAAATAACTTTTATGTTTAAAGTTTTTTCTTTTCACTTGTCACAAATTCTGTTATTATTAATAGTAAAATTTATTTATTAAACAAAACAAATATTGTCACAAAATTAAGTTTTAATTTTTTTATGATATTTACTTTTTTATAAAACAAATTAAAATTTGAATAGATCATATGTTATAATTTTAACTAATTTTGCAACTACAGTGGCAGAGTTAATAGTCACTTTGCCGCGCCTTTTTCCTTTTTTTTTCCTCATTCCTCATTCCTCATTCCTCACTTCTTTTTCCTTTTTTAGAAATATTTCTTCCTCTCCCTGATCTTATAATTTTTGGGTTGTGTTGTTAATTTATTTAAGATATTAATTAAATTTTGTAATTTTAATTTATTTATTTTAAAAAATTTATACAAATTGATTTATTTTATTTTATAGGTGATCAAAATTTGAATTTGTGGGGTTGCAAAGGTTAAATTTCTATTGTTCTTCATTAGGAGGATTATTTTTAATTAATTATTTAATTTGTTTGTAAATGTTATAATATAATTTATGTTTTCAAATATAAAAAAATTGTGAAACTAATTTCTTATTGTAATAATAAATTGTTAGTAATAAATTTAATGATTAAATAAAATAGGTGGTTAGTTTAGAATTAGTAAAATTTGAGATAGTTTAAAATAAAATTAATCAATATTAGATAGTTTTCTTTCTTTTTTACTTAGAAATAGTAAATTTATAAAATTAGTTATTATTTTTAATTCCTTCTTTGCATTATTATTGTAATTGATTTGATATTTTATTAGATATTGTAATTATTAATTATTTGTATTTAGAATATGTATATTTAATTATTTGTTAATTATTAATTATTTGTATTTAAAGTATTATATTTAATTATTTGTTAATTATTAATTATTTGTATTTAAAAGTATGTATATTTAATTATTTGTTAAATTTTAATTTGGTTTTATATATAAATATGTACATTTATTTTATTAATTAATTATAGAAGAATATTTGTTAATTATTAATTATTAGTTTATTTGTAATTACAATTTAAGAATTTATTATGTACTTTATAATTCTTATAATACAAATAAAAAAGATGTTGATATTTTCAAAAAAAAAATTATTTATAAGATTCTATACATTATTAGTACTGTTATTATTATAAGTACAATTATTAAATATACAATATAATTTAAATTAAGGATTCAATGTATTATTAATATTTTTATTATTATTATTGATGTCATTAAAATTTGTATAATTGTTATTAATATAAATATTGGTTAATTATGATTTGTAATATTTAAATAATTTTTTTATTATCAATGATATAGATTGATATATTAGTTAATTGTTGTTATTAAATATTTTTATTGAGTAATTATTAATTGTTATAAATTAAATTTTGATTTAAGTAGGATTATCTTTTAAGACAAAATAGGTTATTAAACTAGGTTAAAAATTTCTTCACTATAGTTTGAGAGTATTTATATTTCTAAAAATATAAGAGATAATTGATTTATTCTAAGTGAATGGATGGTGTTCTTTAATATTTCTCACTTAGAGGTAGTCAATTTCGCCAGTTATATATCTTTATCAATTTTCTAATAAATAATGATCACTCTGTTAGTAGAGAGGTGAAAGTTTGAGATACATACGTTTGACTTTGTCTCTAACGATTGTACAATAAAAGATAATCAATATTTTGTTGGGATTACACGTTTGATTAAAGACTAATATTTTCTATATAAAAAAAGGGACTAATATTTTCACTCATATTATAATTTTACAATTAATTAATTAATCAAATAAATGCCAAGTGCACGATACTAATATAAATAAATTTTAAGAAAAATAAAATTATATTTTAACTAAAAAACTAACAATTAATAACTTTGTTACATATTTAATTCAATTTAACTTACAAATACTGAGCAATTTAATACAAATTTACAATATAAAATTTAAATTAAACTAAAGAATACTAACATGATTTCAATAACTCTCACAATCCTTCTTCAATGTCTTTGAAAATGTGATCCTAGGTGTGTGTGTATAACAAAATTTATTTAGAAAAATATTACACTTATATAAAAAAATTAAAAATAATCTATTTGTAGATGACAATACTAAATTTTAATTTTCTCACAGGTCTCATAATGCAGGTGATGATGGGACTTATTAAATAGTGACAGATAAAAAGTGATTGCAAGTTGCAGATGTTTTTTAACTGCAATTCGGATCTGGATTTTTCTCCCCTGCAGTCCAATTTTGAACCGCATGTCGCACGTTCTTAATACCAACAAATCAGACACATGGACACTCTGTTTGGTTGGGTGTATCCTACGAAATAAATTAAGAGATAAATAAATAAATTTATGTGTACAGATGAAGAATTGTTTTAGTTTAACTTTGATGTTAAATTTCAGTAAAGAATATATGTAATCCAAATTAAAATAGATATTTTTCAATGAGAAAAAAAAATATTACGTCTTGAATTGTATATTTATGTAAGATTTACTTGATTTGTGTTTAATTTGGTCTACCAAAACAATATAAATTAGTGTTGATACGTAAAATTCGATTTAGTCTCTTCCATTGCGTATAGAAATCAAAATTGAAAACGTATATATATATAAAATCAGTCCCTATACTTGACAAGGACAGAATTTGGAACAATTTTATGTATAAGAAACGGTTTGGAAAAAAATTCATTTGGAAATTATGTGTCATGTAATGTAAGAAGCAAAAGATTTAATTGAAAGGGAACGGATTGATGTTGATATTAGCTGATGACCATCTTGCTAAGGAGTTTAGGGCTACACAGTACACTCCAAAACTTGAAAGCTTGCTGAAATTAAAAGTCAAACATGGACCTCAAATTTTCTGTCCATCTCTTGAAAAAAATAAAATTACTTGGACATCTTTAAGAAAAAAAAAGAACATGACCCAAAAAAGAAAAGGAAAAAGAGAGTAACACTAAATACACTTATTAACTGAGAGGAACAGTAAAGAAAAAAGACACATTCACATTCCAGGAGATAAAGCTGTTACGAACCGCTATTGGCTGTGACGATGTAGCAACGGAAAGAAGTTCATATGACACTGCAGAAATAATGTGGATAGTATGAGAAAACTATTCAAGTTCAGGCTAGTTTGTTATGCACCAGAATGCTTCATCATCCTATAAATTATGGATGATTCTAATATCCTTTCTTCTTTTGTAAAAAATATTTTATTTTTTAAAAACATTGCTTTTACATAAGTGATTAATAATTGAAATTGAATTGTTGATCGTCATAGTTTAAAATTAGATAGCTAAGATTAAATATTAAAAAGGTAAACAAATGCGAATAAGAGTTATTAATGAGTAGGATGAAGAGGGTTAATAACGTAAATCTAACAAGTTGTGTACATGAAATTGTATTAACATCATACGCTCCATACATTTGATGTAGATATGGCTAACATAAGACAATAACAAGACAATTGTAAAGGAGAGACATTATTTTAGAATCTAATCAATGTAAATCCAGTTTATGCGCAATATGAAAAAGGTAGTCGTGAAATGACATCAATTTTAATACACAACCGATGCAAATAGAGTACATGCGCAATATGTAAAAGGTTACCACATAATGACATCATTTTTACTACACAACCGATGCAAATGCAGAAAATGTAGAAGGTGGTTGCCTAATGATAATAGTTTTGCCACACAATTGATCCAAATTGAGTCTATGCGCAAATGTAATAGGTGGTCGCCTAATGACATTGGTTTTACCACACAACCGATGCAAATGTCTGCCAATTGTAGTAACTATTTATATTTCATTGTTTTTACGTTAGTGACCTACACAAAAGCCAATGTGTTTGTAGACTAATTGGGCATAATGGTGAATTCTAGTATTGAATTATAGGGTATGAGATGTGTGAGAATAGGAAGAAATTGTATTAGCGAAGCCTTGGTGAGAGAGGTGGCAGAGGGGTAAGGTTTTTGGTATGAAGAGGTGGAATACTTAGTTAGAGAAAAAAGGCAAAATGAATTTGCAATGCAAAGTACAAGGAGAATAGGACGACGGAAGGATTGCGGAAGGCAAAAAATACCCATTATATAAATCAGTTGAACATGGATTTGCCTTGAAATGATGAAAGAAACGAAGAGGTTTGTGTAAGCTTTGTGTATTTCAGTGAATAACCATAGTTGTTATAATCTAAGTAACTTGTGTATTATTTATTTATGTTACATGTTGTTGTTGAGGAATGCAATGTGGACGAGGAAATGGCAAGATGAAGTTGATATGCACAATGATGGGTACGTCAATTTTATTGATTTATGTAGCACTGAGATTAAGAGAATGAAATTTTTGAGTGTTCAGGAAGGTTATCAATTTTATAATGAATATGGAAAAATGAATAGGTTTAGTCTGAAGAAAAATAAACGGGGCAAAAATAAGAATGGAGATGTTGTCTAGCAGCAATTTGTTAGTTCAAGTCAAGGTTTTTGATGAGAAATGTACATATGTAACCCTAATCGAGTTCAGGAGCATGGAGCAATTACTAGGTTTAGCTGTGAGGCAGAGATGAAGATACGTTTAGATGTAGATAAAGGGTGCTGGGTAGTTTGTCGATTCTTTGATGATCATAATCATAATTTAGTTGATGAGAATTATTTTGGAATGTTAATGTCACATCGCAAAATGGATGATGGTGATGTTGAACAGATGCGTCGAATGAGGAAAAGTGGTATTCCAACCTGCAAAATATATGACTCATTTGTTAGCCAAAGAGGAAGTTATGACATGGTTGGCTTTTGCAAAAAAGATATTTATAATCAGATTGAGAGAGATAGAAGAGGACAGGATGGGGATGTTAAGGAGGCAGAAAAATTCTTAATAAGTTTGCGCTTTAAGGATCTCAAGTTATTGGGGTCACAAGGTTGATTCTAATGGGAGGTTGTTGCATATATTTTGGTGTAATGGTATGAGTCAAATTGGTTATGACATCTTTGGAGATGTTGTTGCCTTTGATGCTACTTATGGGAGGAATAAATACAAATGTCCTGTTGTAGTTTTTTTTTCTGTCAATCATCATAAACAGACGTGCGTATTTGGGCGTGCAGTTGTGTCTGATGAAAAGGAAGATACTTATGTATGGGTCCTTCAACAGTTTATAACAGCAATGAAGGGTAAGTGTCCTAATTGTGTGATTACTTATGGTGATATATCAATGAGGAATGCCATCATGAAAGTGTTCCCAACTGCTCATCATCGATTGTGTGGGTGACAGTTAATGAGGAATGTGACATGCAATGTTTGCAATGAAAGGTTTAGTAAATTGTTTAAAGAATGCATGATTGGTGACCTAAACACTGCACAAATTGAACAGAAATGGGCGTCTGCCGTTAAGGAGTGTCATTTGGGAGGTAATGTATGGGTTGAGGAATTATATAATAAGAAAGAAATATGATGTACAACTTACATTAAGGGTAAGTTCTTAGCTGGGTTAAGGACAACCTCAAGATGTGAGGGTTTACATTCTCAAATTAGTAAGTATATTAAGTCAACAAATAACTTGAGAGAATTTATGGAGAATTTTAAGCAATGTATTGATAACATTTGTAACAATGAAAGTGAAATGAATTTTAAGTCAAGTTATGGTCATGTAGTGCCTGTAAGTCATGCAGTTGAGTTGGAGAAATTTGCAACAATGGTATATACAAGGAATGTTTTAAAAGTTTTTTAGGAAATATTATTGAAGTCGGTATTTTTAACAGTGGTTGATGTTACTCAATGTCTTTCATCAATGTAAAGTTTGTTTGGAAGCAACAAAAATGGAGATATGTTGTTCCTGTCTTGCAATGGAGTCTTTTTTTACCATGTCCTCACATTGTTGCAGTGCTGGTGTCCCTGCAGGTTGACTATCTTCTAAGTTGTCTTGTGTTAAGTAGAATGACAAAATTGGCAAAGGGAGGTTATAAAGAATATGACAATGAAATGACCAAAAATGCTTATGAAAGGTCAATGTGGAGGAGTTGGTTTGGACTATTATGTGAGAGTGGAAGATTGGTGTTCCAATTGGCTTGTCAAAGTTACGATGAGGTTTGTAATGTTAGAGAAATTCTAACAAAAGAAATGCAGCGGCTGAAAAGAAAGTATGGAATAAAGAAACTAATTTTAGTAATTATATCATCAGTGATATTAATGGAATTGATGCAGACTATCCCATTGCAAAAACAAGTAATACGGTGGGTATGTGCAGTGGTGTTGTTGGTAGGAAACGCAAGCGTGTGACACAGTGTGGTTTCTATAAATGTGTTGGTCATACTCGACGTACCTGTCAACATGCCATTAATATAAGTTAATCATTGAGGATGACAAATGATTGTAATTCTTTATCAAGAAGTGTGTGTTTTGAAGAAATTTGTAGAGATTAAAACATGGTAATAATATTTTATGAAATATGGTTATTGTTTTCATTTATACATTATTTCACGTGAATACAATGAAGAAGAATAGTAATGATAATATATGTGTTTTGTTATAAATGTTTTGCAAGAGGCTTTTCATTGTCCAAACACGATACAAGAACGACAGTCTTGTTGAAGGATTTTATATGTAATAATATATGTGTAATATTTCTTTTGTTAATGAAATATTTTCTCTTTTAAAAATTTAATAAATGCAACTTATTTTGCATAGGTGGCCCATCTTCCATATATAATTGTTTAATAATAGTAATAATAATGCATAGGTGGCCCAAAAAACGACCTAGTGTCCCATGTACGCTATGAAGCAATCCTTTTATGAACATTAACATCAAACCTATCCTTTACCTGATATTAATACGCAGACGATGTTAAAATTTACTTATGCTTCATCTGCATCGGGTGGTTACATGTCCACTGATGTTGCAATTGATGCCATAAGTAAAGTCATAATAGATTGAAATAAATGACATTGGATCTTTTGGTGCACTAATGTGGAATAGAATTGTCAAATTCATGCATATATCTTAATGAAGATGATGTGTCAAACACATGCCCTGTTGACTGCTAATGTCTGGGAGCTCACAAAGAAAAAGTCGGCCTCTGACCAAACTTTCACATATTGCAGTTCGAGGTAATGCTGAAGAGAGGATTCTAATACAATTTGACGTCTCAACAGACAATCCATTGAGAGTGAATGTAACGCAGTTCAAGAGTTATGTTGCACTTCTTGCTCGTACTAAGGTCAGTATACTAATTAATCATATAATTATATAAATAAAATATATAAAGATATAATTTAATATTATTTATATCTTAATGATTTTATAAAAATAATAAATCAATAATAGTATAATAAAGTACAGATTGATTTTAATACATTCTATAAAAAATAAAGTTTATATATATATATATATATATATATATATATATATATTATCAATAATAGTATAATGCAAGATTTTGTCATTGTCATACGAAAACAAAATTCCTTTTTATATATTAAACGTTGGTGTTTGAAAATCATGTATAAAATTGTACGTGAATATGTTTACTTTCATCTCCAAATACTCATGCGTGGACAAATATAAGTTAATTATATAAAGCGATGTAAAAATGATCAGGTGTAATTGTTTAAGTTCATAAAAATAAACAAAAATGATTTATAATCAGAAAGAACCAAAACATAAAATATATGTTCAGTAGCAGCTGCAGATATGTCAGGCACGATCTTTGTCTGATATAAGGGAGTTTACTTACAAAAGGTACTTCAACGATAAAGTCAGGTATCGATTTAGGTAATAAATGCTATTAAATATTCAAAACTTAACCATTTACATGTACCTTTTACCTCCCTTTTATAGGTAGTATTATGGGCTAATAGGCTTTTTGTGGGTCAGCCCTGTCTTTGGCCCTTCAATTAAGTAAATAATGATATGATTATTTATCCTAATTGTTTTAATTATTCTTTAATCTGACCGAGAGGGTACTCGTCCTATTGATGCCGAAGGAGTATTCGAATTCCTTCTTTTATCATGGAGACCACATAGTGTTCTATCTAGTACACATCTAATTTAATACAACAGTGATGCAATTTTAATACAATAAAAACTATTTTTATAAAAGAATTGAAAATAATTTGTTTATTAGAATTATTTTAAAAGTATATTTAAGATAAATTTAAGTTAAAGGTACATTTAAAACTAACTTAACATAAAATATTGGATTTAAAACTGATTTCAACTACAACTAGGGTTTAAAGCATTATTAAACCAAATATAAAATTTCAAACCACTTATATTAAAGCATCATATTTGCAAGATTATTTTATATTAATAAACAAAACAAAACCCTTAGATTGCAATGTTATAAGTGATCATAAATTGCAAAAAAAATAATTGTTTAATCACACACACATAGTTCAATATTCAATATGTCCAAAGAAAATCATAAAGCAAGTCACAAAAAAAAAAAATGAAAAGTCAAGCGTTACTGTAATTGTTCATAATGCATGAGTTATATGAACTTCAAGTTCATTTTGCACTTCAAAGTACCAAAATAATATTTCATCTCCCGGTATCAATTTTAGTGCTCTGCAAAAGTTGTACCACCCTGCACCCAAATACCTCTGGGTCGTCTTCTTCCCATATAATATTTGACAAGATGAAATGATAAGTTCATCCTTCTCTTTCAAAATCACGTGTGTCTGTCCTGCTAACATCACCTCACGGACATAGTTAAGAGTAAGAGGTTGTACTTACAAATATACCAATAAATTTGTTAAAATAGATAAATTCAACCATTCATTTAAATGACCAGTGGATTTTTATTTTATATTTATACATATTAGTACATTATTCCTAGATGCGAACAATTTTGACACTTGTCGTTGCCACATCTTCACATATTGTAGTTTAATCTTAACGAAGGTTTTGGTTGTAGCATATGGGTCAGTGTGACCATATTCAATGTCTACATCTTTAGCGTTGGTGATTCTTATTTCAAAAACTTATTACCATCGTACTTAGAGGTGACAAAATATACACCATCAAGTTGATAAAATTATCTTATCAGTCTTGATGCATTTCTAAAATAGCCGACTATTGCATTTCCATTTTCATATACTGTGTCATTAATAACATCACTCAAAGAATCTTTTAGGTGAAAATGTTTTTCCATAATATTAAAATGCTATTTTCTATAAAAGCCACCATTGATAGTTATATCATTTTGAATCAACACAAAACAACAGAACATATATTTATATATTTCTTTACAAATTGAAGAACATAATAAACAAATAATGACAATTTCATAGACCAATAATTAAAAAAATACAATACTTCAATATCCAATAAAATGATGAAAAGGTTACGTACCTGATCACACTTCAGTTGACATCGAAATTCATTGCTATGAAGATTATTACCTTACTGTTTATAATTAAGGGATGACTACCTCTAATATGATACTACTTCACACGAACCATAAAATTTGTACGGGCCATAAAGAGAAGAGCTGAAGAGGTTTAGTCACAACTATAAGTTGTTGTACTTGTAAATTTTAATGCATTAAATTTTATTTGACATGTGGATATTCGAAGAGATAGCTCCTTTTTAATTACTAATGTGGACTGACATTGTTAGTGTCTATCAGGCGTGTGTAGGACCCGAACAAACTAGTCCGTTCATTAATGATGATGGTTGTCCCATAGTTCCACTATTTTGCACAATATCGACGAGGAGTTGGTATGTATTTCACTTATTTGTGTATGAGGTATAGAGTTTTTTGTCTGCAATCATCATGACTCGTCAAATCAAGCGCACACGTGAATGACTTTACAAATTCCAAACAATGTCATGTCAGACCACTAAGGCCATCCGCCGCCATATTAAAGGTAATAAGGTAAACCACTTACTTAAGTATTAATGGTATCCTAGTAAATTATTAAATTAAATAATTCATTTGGTGACCCACATGACATGTCACGTTGTTCATAACTTCCTTTTATGGAACATTATTGTAACGCAATAGAAGATACTTCTACTTCTCGATCAGGCCCACTCTCCCTTACCTTGCAATTTTTTTATAAAAATTCATGGGTATATATATTAACGCTTAAAGGCCCATTAAGCCCATGCTTCCGTTCATAACAACATGTCAGTTCACTTCATGGTTTTATGTATATATTACACAAATGCTTAACATTTCCTTGTTAAGGAAAATATTTAAACATGGGTTCTTTTATAATTGGATTATGGTACAAACAAATGTACAAGTTTAACTTACTATAATATTGCCTACAAATACAAATTATATTATTTAATGAGTTCCATCATTTCATGTGTGCAATTTGTCTCTTAAAAATTGATACAACACAAAATGTGTCTGCATTGCACCACAAACTGCTGTACACCATCAAATATTATGTTTTTTATTTTTGGTTTTAAAAATTTCAAATGGTATAACATTATATTTTGATCATGCTCAAAATATTATTATTTCTTTTTATAGATTTTATATTAAACTTTTATCATACATTCTGTTTATTGATACTAAGTGAAAAAAATTATTTTTTAAAGGCTTCTATAAAGTATAAAATAATTAATTAAAATTACTATAATATTCATAAAAATACACAAATTTAATACAACAGTGATGCAGTCAAATAAATTAACTTCACAATAAAAATTAATTTTATGAATGTATTAAAAATAATTTATTTTTTACAATTACTTTAAATTTAGATTTAAAATTAATTTTACTTAACACTAAATTTAAAACTAAGTTAACATAAAACATTGAATCTAAAACCCATTATGCTAAAATTAGGGTTTAAAGCATTATTATACCAAAATATAAAGTTACAAAGCTGTTATAAACTAGTTTAAATAAAAATAAATTTATCAATTCTAATATTTAATAAGTATAATTACTTTGTGTAGTGAATTAAAAATACAAAGTAAAAAAAATCAATTTTATTTTAATACAATATGAATGTAAAATAATTACATAATTTAATTTTTTAAATAAAATATATACAGATATATTTTTATGTTAATTATATCAAATTCAAATTTATAAATATATAATATATCAATAATAGTATAATGGACAACAATTTTATTTTCGATATATTAAATAAAAATTGAGGATAATAAATTATAGCTGATATGATTTGAAGTGAATACAAGATTTATGCAGATAATAAATCGGTTCTATCACACAAAACAATATAATATAATATATGATACTGAGACAATTAAATCCATGGACTAGTTAAATAGATGTATAATACACACTTGGTGACAACATTGCAGGTTAAGGCCAATATTTCAAAATCGACTTTGTAGTCCAACTGTTGTAAAAGAGCCCATCCATAAGTAACTTGTACATCAGTTGAATTGGATGATCAAACCAATAAACCTTTACAAAGTATATTAAAAAAAAAAACGTAAATTCTACATGAGTTCTCTCAAATAACTAATGTAAAAAGTAGCGACATAAACCAAATACAACCAATGCAAAGAGAGTCTATGCGAAAAATGTATAAAGTGGTTGCCTAATAACATCAGTCTTGTCACACAACCGATTCAAATTGAGTCCATGCACAAATATAAAAAGTGGTCACCTAATGATATTGGTTTTATCACACACCGATGCAAATGTAAAAGCTCATTAAGCCACTGCTTCCATTCATAACAACATGCCATTTCACATAATGGTTTCACGTATATATTGTTCATTTTCACAACACAAATGGTCAACAGATGCTTGTTAAGGAAAATTATACATGGGTTCTTTTATATGTGGGTTATGGTACAAACCGATGTTCAAGTTTAACTTATTGTAATATTGCCCACAAATAAAAATTATATTATTTAATCAGTTCCATCATTCCATCTGCAATTTGTCTCTTAAAGGTTGATATAACACAAAATGTGTCTGCGTTACACCATAAATAGCTATACACCATCAAAATGTGTCTTCCCATATGAAAGATAAAAGTGCAACTAAAATAAAATATATCACTGTTAAATATAAGCCTGAAGAGAGGATTCTGATACAATTCCACATTTTCCTAAACAGGAAACCAATTGGGACCTAATGCTGAAAAGTTATGTTGCAATGCGGAAGATTAAAAGAACAAGATGACCGACAAAAAGAAGAGGTAGAAAACACGAAGGACGAATGGAAACATGAAATTATCAATATATCCTTTCATAAATCTAACTTGAATAGTCGATATCCTATAATTCATTCTTAACCATTCGATTAAAATCAACAGTCCATACTATATGATTTGGTCATTAGTGTGCTATTAATATGGAATAAGCAACATGATTGCATCCATTGAAGGGCTATAATCCATTGGATTTGACTAGTAAATCTCAACCTTTCTGGGAGTAGTTTCACTATCTTATTAAATATGAGAAAGCTAGCAGCTGTAGGTAGGCCAATCTAAGAACTTAACAATAAACTCTTAAGTGGAATAACAAAAACTGTTTATAAAATACCATTATGCAACAATTTCCTTGCTTAATTGCCAGATTAACTTAAAACACTGTAAGCAGCAAAAACAAGAAGAAAGAAGTATCGAGATGATTGAGTTCAAAATAATTAATTTCCCCTGTGCTGATCTACATGTGCACTCAGACGTCAATTTATGAAGCAGGTAGAAACCTTTTGAATTCAGTTTTTCAAATGAATACAATCTAATGACAATTTTTTGTGTGATCATTTTCCATACTTACCCTGAAATTGTGTGGGAGAACCTGTGTGGGTAGTATGTAATAATATGGCAGCTCTCAGAATGTCTCTAAGCATGTAAATGTCTTGCAAGAAAAGCTGCACAACGAATCACACATTGAGAGTTTTAATACAGAAAGGACTTCTTATATTCAAACACTTTCTGAACAAAATAACCACGAACTTACTTACTAGTTGAACAGGATCTGTTCTATAGGCTCGTACGTCTGAGTCCTTGAGATTTTAGGAGACAGGAATGTGTTAAGTAATTTTACAAATTTCTAGGACATTTTTATCTTATTTTACGAAACTTAGTGCACGAATGACGTGATTGTTCTTTTCTTTTATTCCTTAATTTTGTAGTTATTTAATTTATGACTAAACTAGTAGAAGATCATTCGCATGAAATTGAATGCAGTCGGCCTAACTATTGGTATTAAATAGAATAACTCATATATATAATGTGAAATACTATCAAGTGAGCAGATTTAGAACCTAAAAAAGTGAGAGTTTATCTACTATTAAATTAAGTATTTTGTTAACTTCAGCCTTTAAAGTTGAGTTTAAGTAACTATAAATAAAAAAATTTTATAAAAAAATACATAATTATTATATTAAAATTATAAAAATACAATAAATACTTCTCTTTCTAATAAAATTTTAGTATTATTAACTGTTTAAACTCAACTTAAGAGCTAAAGTTAAAAAAACCCTTAAATTAAATTTAAGTATTTTATAAGTTTAACCTTCTTTAGATTAATCGTGGATAGATTCCTTCAAACTTGCCTTGCCTATTTAAGTAAATATAAATAGTAATATAACAATATTTATATGTAAGTTTATAATGATATTATTGTTGTATTAAATACCTGATATAATGCTTTTATATACACTTTTTTTTAAAAGCCTTGATACCGTCAATTTACCAGCAAGGTTAGACTAATTAGAATGTTTAGAGGTAGGTACATTTCCACAGAGATATTGCTTCTAACTTCAGTGAGTTTAAGCTAAGTGCTTGCTTAAGTTGGAACATAAACGTCTTAAATTTTAACTCTGGGTATGAAATGAAAGATCAGTTCTAATAGTGAAATCTGTTCCCGGCATCAGCAAAACGTGATCATATTATACACTCTACTGCCACTAAATAAAAAGATACTCTAAAAGGAACCAATTTTTGTTTACCCTTTTTGGCATTTCAATACAAAACATTTCAGGAATCATTCAATCGAAAATCTAAATGTACAAACAAATCATACCTACACTAGCCAGTGGAAGACTGTCAATATCCCCAATATCTGCATATAGTCCTGGACCCCAAGCTTCCTTTTTCTTGCACATAATAGGAATACGTGTGTGCTAATAACTGGTTGGATTGCAGAGCTAATATACTATACAGTCCCTAGTTATTACTTTCAGATTCAAAAGGGATTGGCCTTTCCACTATTGAAGATACTGATTCATCATCTGTCTCCAGTATTTTAACTACCTGATCCATTGTTGGCCTAGCATATAACTGTGGATGACAACAAATTACAGCTACCAACACATACTTCTCAAGAACTTGTGGCGGACCAAGTTCTTGCATACCATCTTCAATAACATCCAAAGCCCTATCATTTCTAACCAATGACCAAGCCAAGTCGGTGAGTGCCGAAGGTTGGCCATCGTTGTCCACATGAAGAGCCTTTTTCCCACTCAAAAGCTCAAGAAGCACAACACCAAAACTGAACACGTCACTTCTCTCAGTCAACTGTCCATACAAAGCATACTCAGGAGCAACGTACCCCATAGTTCCAGCTACCCTCGTGCTCATATGTGTCATTCCCTCAGGATTAAACTTTGCCAATCCAAAATCCGCTACCTTGGCTTCAAACATGTCGTCAAGAAGTATGTTACTAGCTTTAATATCTCTATGAATGATGGAAGGTTGAGCCCCATAATGCAAATAAGCCAAGCCCCTAGCAGTGCCTAGAGCAATCTTTTGACGTATGGGCCAACTCAATTTCTTCCTAGCAGAACCAAACAAATGATCATAAAGACTCCCATTTTGCATCAAATCAGTGACAATAATCCTCTGGTGACCCTCTAAATTAGTAGTAGCAGTACAATAACCTCTCAAGGCTACAAGGTTCACATGCCTAACACTCGCAATAACCTCTACTTCATGAGCAAAACTATCATCCCCAGAAACCGAACAATTCTTAAACCTCTTCAAAGCAACTTGAGTCCCATCATATAACACACCTTTATAAACATTCCCAAAACCCCCCCTCCCAATTATATTGTCACTAGAGAAATTCCTAGTAGCCTTCTTAATGGCATCGAAAGTGAACCTAATCAAAGTGGTACTTTGGTTCACCGAACCCAAACCCATCTCCCCTCTACCAACATCCTTCTTGTTCTTGGGCCCCAATCTAAGATAAGCCCAAAACGAACCAAGAACCAGCAACAACAAGGCCAACGTAGAAAAAACGACAATAACAACAAGTCGGTGACTGTTACCACTGGATCCATACAGATCCATCAAGAACAAGCACTTAACGATTGCAGGATTATCCAAATTGGAGAGAGAACCGGCGTAAATAGAAGCAATAGCTTTGCAATCATCGACTGATGATGGAGTGATGTACGACTCCACCTTGGACAACGTAGCGGTGCAGAGAGCACAGGATGCATCATTAACAAGAGATTGGTTACAATTAGCGGACACGGATTGAAGTTCTGAGGCAGGAACATAGGCTTGGAACTGTGACCGGGTAGTGATGTTCATGCAAGCTTGGGAAATAGAAGAGGAAGGAAGGTTACAAGAGGAGCGAATGTCGTATTGGTTGATGAAGGATTGAAGAGTGTTCCAGCAAGAGAATGTGGAGTTGGGTGGAGGGAAGAAGGATCCAGTGCGTCGGAGGTAATCGGATTGAAGAATACGGAGGGCTTGGATCACGTAAAGGCAGCGCGTGACGGGGTCCCCAAAAGAGGGTGATGAACGGAGGAGGGTGATGTTGAGGGGACATTGAACGGAGAGGGAAAGGGTTGGAAGAGTGAGGACTATGGTGAGGAAGATCAGCCACATTTGAGGGAATGGCTTTCGCAAGCTTTGCAATTTTACACCATTTTAATTTTATGCCTTCAAACTCTTTTCAACACCAGTAACAACCATTAAAAACCTTTGAAAGGTCACATGTCAAAAACAAAGGATATACTAAATTTTTATTGTCTGTTATCAAATATAAATTAAAAAATTATATTACAAATAAAATTAGTGTATTTTTTCTTTAATAAGTATTATTATTAACGTATTAAATTTAATAATGTTATATAGTTTTTTATAAATATTTATTATATATAAATCCTTATTATAATCACTGTAGAAACACGTTAGAAAAATTCTCCGTTTTAGCGCTGATGTTAATGTTGGCCACATGTTCCGGACATTTTCTAGGAACTCCCAGGCTCAGTTACCAACCTTTTTTCAAAAATGGCGTGCCTCTTGTCTTAAAATGGACTCTCTCTCTCTTTTCTTTTCTTTTTTTAATCAATACAGTCCTCATCATTAAAAAGTTTTAAAATATTAATTATTGGATAAAATAAAATAAAATGAAAAAAAATATATATATATATATAACAGAACTCCTTTTGTTTATGTTCCTATGTGTTGCTTGTACACGTACGATTCATCTCGTTGAATTTATAAGCTTACTCTTATTTTCTTGTCTGTGGAAAGTGTTTTTCACATATTTCATATTCGCTCAAATTCATCCTTCCATACCTAAAATGCAAATATCTGCAGTAAGTTCTCTCCAATGGGATGTTAGATGTCTCCATCGCCCCGAAAAGAGAAGAAAGTTAATTTTTTTTTTAATTAAGTGTTAAGTTTATACAATATTTACATAATCTATTAAACTAAGGTTTTAAAAAAATTAATACTTGACAGTATTTTAATCAATTACATAAAATTAAAAATAATAGTTTATAAAAATTAAATTTAAATTATACAGTTTTTATAGTCGTCAAACCCCCTTTATTAAGACTATATTTTTTTTTATTAGTAATTATATTTGCTGTGAGTGAACAACTGTACTCCTTCCCACGGATGATGGTGTGAACAAACTTGCATTTGAAATTGAAATGTGGTGGGGGCGTTCTAACGTTGGTATATAAGATAAGAAATCCTAAAAAATTATTATAATATGCTACATGTCCTCGGTCAAACACTTAGAGCAAGGCCATTCCATTATAATATTCTCATATTACCATTTCTACTTATGACAAATACTTGTCTTAAGCATAAGATTAAATTAAACAATTGTCATAAAGTCATATTATTATTTTTATATTATCATTTATATGTTGTTGTCATTGTCACATTTCTATATATGTATATATAATCTGCTGTAAAATAAATACAATATCCACAATATATTTTTAAAAGTTTTGTGCCACCTCTTGAATATTTTTTAGAGTGAACGCCTATAAATTGATCCAAATTGTGAGTTTACAGATTTCATATCTGCTCCTGCCACTTCTTACATGCATGGCGTGTATGCTAAGAGGTCAAAACTCGTAAGTCGTGAGTTTACTGGTTTTAGACATGTTCTTGCCACTTCCTGCATGCATGCCAAAAGATAAAAACTCACAAGTCGCGAGTTTGCATTAATTCAGAGCTCCAACGACGCGACACCACCTGCAGCGGTCATATAACGTGATCAAAAATTGCTATATGCGATCTTCCAATGTGTTATAACCTACTTTTGACCAATTTCATGTGCTACAATAACTAAAAAATTGCAAATGACATTTTTATAAAAGCACATGTCACCTTCTTTGCCATTCTGCTACCATTATACTATTCACGTTAAATCTTCATTTGCGTTATTTAAAAAGTCATATTATGGTAAATATACAAAATAGGTCATATTTTTGTATTTTGTCTTAATTAATCCCATATTAAAATAACTTTTCCTCCTTGTTGGGTTTATATTTAAAATTAAGCTAAACTACAAAAATATACTTGTCGCATTCTATTCACACAAAACCTAACCTAAAAGTATTTATATAATTCAATTTATTATAAATATACATTTTTGTATTTCTTCAAAAAATTATTACTTTTAATTTTGATGATTTATGATAAAATTTAATAATTTTAAATTTTTTTATTAAGTATTGCTAATTAAATAAGGAATCGAGCACTAAAAAAACATGAATTGATTTGAGACTTTATTCTTAATTATATTAAAATTTATTTATTTGTTACCAAAAGATAAAATATTATTTAAAAACAATAAAAAAATATGATAAAATCGAAAGAATCAATCTAATTCAGTTGTAACAAGTGAATATTTGATTCATATACGATATTATTCACAAATTAATTAAATATTGAATTTTAATTCAGTGTATTCTCAAACTATTTTTATATAGACAATTTGAATGATTTTGTATTCTAATATTGTCAAACCTTACCTCATCTGAGCTAAAGAGCAAAGTAACTTTAGCATTATCATGTGAAGCAACAACTTGCGAATCAGATATTAGACCGATAACAACGAATACTTGATCTTAATTAGTCAAAAAGCAAAGTAGGCCATGCTTTTCCATAGTGTAGATGATTCCACTTACGATTGGCTTGTGTTTTACAGATTTATATGCTTATTGGATGTGGGACTTATCAAAGAGAATAATAGACAATGCTGGGCCTAGCTAGTTGTTAGAATATAAGTAATTTTTGGAGTTCACTTACCAATGGGCATTGGGACAGCTGATGACTAACTTACGAAGGAGTCTATCTATAGTTAATACTGATTATGGACTACTTTTGGCTTTGACAATATTGTGTGACAATTGATGTTACAACATAAACAATGACAATAATTTTGCTTCTATATAAATTGAAAAAATCGCTAAATTATCCAATTGACTATATTATATTTGTACATAAATGTTTCGTTACAGAAAATAAATAAATTTGAGAGTATTTTAGAATTGAATTTTAGATATTTTTAAGTTTTGTAAATGTATTTAATTGTAGATGAACAATAAAGGTAAATGGTAAAAATATTATAGTTAATAACTTGATTGAATGTAAATTATTGAAATGTAAACTTACAACTTTAAAAAATTAATACTAATAACGGTTGATTTCTTAGTTATTGGGTCTAATTAGTGTAGAACTTTGGCGTGTAAAATTCTTTTAGTACAAGTATTTTTATGTAAAAGTTGTCACTCCTAAACAATGAAATAAAAAATTATTTACATTACAATCTCATCTTACTTCTTAAAGAATATGTAAACCATAAATACAATTGCCTATAACACGTTCTTTGTAATTATTTTTGCATGTCATTCGGGTTCTTTGTCATGTGCATTGATCTCCAATTAATGATAACTGTAGATAATCACGACATTTTTGGCATATTTCTATCATTTTTTAGAATACCTTTGTCACTTTAAACTTAAATACTTTTTTACCTTTGAAATCCTTCAACTTGTTTTTAAAGTAACTTTCAAAAAAGTTTTAAGAAAGCATGTCAAGACACTTATTTTTTACTAATTTTCACACTTTTAGGTCTTGCTTATAAAACTTGCTTAAATATCCTTGAAATGTTAACTTTTTGACTAATTCTTAAAAATCTTGAAAAATCATCTCCATTTCAAAAGAAACTAGTGTTTTTTGTTATCCTTATTTCAATAAAACTTATTGAAAAAAGTAGAATTTTTATTATTATCTAAATTTTAGTTAAATCATATACGTCTAACTATAACTTTTGAGAAGAAGTATTGAACTTTTTCCTTGTGATTTTTGTACAAAACACACCTTATTAATACAAAATCTTTTTAAAACATAGTGCTATTATAACTTAGGAAATTTTTTTTTCCTAAACAAGAAAACATGTTACATTTTATTTATTTCTCTTGACTTATGTCACTCACGTTATGAAAGATTTACAAACTACTATGAAATAAGTAACACTATTGTAGTCCATTAAATTTGATAAGTAAATCTTGACTTTATCACTATAATTTCACTATCTTATTGAATATGAGAAAGATATCTGCTATAAAGAAGTCAATCATTTTATAATACTTAAAAATATATGTTAAATATTATTGTGCAAACTAACAGAGATTGGTCCAAGTGACAAGTGGCTCGCTATTGCTTAAACAAAATGTCAGATTAGAGTGCTTGTGTATGCCCTACTTAATTATTTTTAAAAACTAATTTAAGGGAAAAAGAAAGTAGAATTCAAAAGAACTAATTTTCTTTAAACATATATTATATTACTTATGTTGGGTGAAAACAATTTGAGAAAAAAGAAAGTAGAATTCAGAAGAACTAATTTTCTTTAAACAGATATTATATTATTACATTGGATTCAGTTTTGCAAGATTACAACCAAAAATTACTTTTTTGTTAAATCTTTGTTTTTACCTTTTGCATTTATCTTTAGACTTGCCCCGACTTTATAATGGTAATTCTTATGTACACTCAAACATGAAAAAGTAAGGCAAAATATCTTTTAGAAAAACTTGCAAACATTATGGACCAATGTTTAAAATACAAAACAAGAAACCAATGATAAAAGTTAATATTTTAAAAAGATATATTGGTAATTTGATATATATATATATATATATATATATATATATATATTAGTAATTTGATGTATATTTTTCTCTTCCTCTTTCATTGTGTCTTTCATTCTCTTTATAGGACATGAATAATATTAATTTCTAATCAATCTCTCCCCCATGCTCAACTCGTTCACCACAAAACTTCAACTAGTCCTCAACATCATCAACAAACTTAATTTTTACCCAATCCAAATGAAGCTTCAACAACCAAGGTAGCAAGAACACTTTTCTAAGATTTGAGTCGGTCAACTCATTCTCAACATCATCAATAAATTTGATTTTTACCCAATCCAAACCAAGCTTCGACAATCAAGGTAAAGATGAACACTTTTCTGAGATGAAGTGAGTCAACTTGCAAATATGAGTAACAAATAATAATTATTCAACTTTGCTTGTTTTGTCAATAAATGGATTAAGAATAGAAGTTGGGAAGGAAGG